ATTCAACTTGTACTCGGAGGAAATATTCGCTACAGGCTTGAAAAATATCGACAATGGAATTCTACTGAACGGAGAACGTATTAACAACATTCGATATGCAGACGACACTATTGTATTCGCTGATAACTTGACTGGCTTGCAAGAGTTAATGAACAGGATAAACGACGCCAGTGACCAATATGGCCTAAACATGAAAATTAGTAAAAGCAACTGCTAGTTAGAGAGAGATCGGTGGAAGGGGTTCCTAAGTTCACTTATCTGGGAACGACAATTAAGGAACAAGTGCAGAATAGAGAAAGCAAGGCAAGCTTTTATCAAAATGTCAAGGTTTTTTAAAAGCCACAATCTAGACCTGAACATCAAAATCAGACTCTAAAGATGCTACATTTTCTCGATACTCTTCTACGGGGTGGAGTCGTGGACACTGACCGAGGCAACACAAAAAAGGCTGGAAGCACTTGAAATGTGGCTGTACCGAAGAATTCTGAGGATCTCATGGGTGGACGGGGTATCAAATGAGTCAGTGCTGGAGAGAACGAACAAGGAAAACGAAGTGATAAGCACTATAAAGAGAAGAAAACTTGAGTACCTAGGCCATATAATGCGAAACGACAGCAAATACCATATTCTCAAAAAAATACTCCAAGGAAAAGTTTACGGTAAGAGAGGACCTCGAAGACGAAAAATATCACAGTTGAAGAATTTAAGAAAATGATTTTCCAAAACAACCATTGAATTATTCAGAGCAGCCGTGAACAAGGTCATCATAGCCAGAAAGAATTGTCGATCAACTCTTGAGGCATGGGATAGAGGAGTACCTAAAAAAATGCCATTCGGTATTGGAAGTTGGAGAAAGGTCCTTAGTCATATCACAGTATGTTATTTTTGTCTTGTTTACCTAAAAAACCCACAACGAGGCATCTGATTTAAAAAATGTTACTGTCTGAAGACTGAAACTGTTTCAAAATGAAAAAAAAAAACTTAGAGACATTCGCGTCAAGAAAAAGTGTTTTCTGGACAACCAAAAGAGCATGAAAGTTGATTTTTCAAAGCAACTTAAACAGGCTACGGCAATATTATTTTCAAATCTTCTGGATTTCTCCTGCCTAGGTTGTTTATAAATCAAACTTGATGACATTTCGCCAATCACCGATGCAGGAGGAATAAAGATTTGTAAATAGTATATAAAAGTTGTTAAAACTTATTAAGAGCTTAAAAAAATGTATTGAATTGCATTCTCAAATAATTTATTCTCGAGAACTTTTCAATATTTTCAATATTATGTTCAGTGACGTACGCAGAGAATCAGAGTAATTAGAGATCAGGGTTCAGTAACGTACGCAGCGAGCTGGAATATTTTCTCAGTATTTATGGCTTACATTTGATTGTTAAGGTACTGAAAGAATTTAACCAGATCTCTTTCCTCCTTTGGATTCTAGATTCGTTGACATTTCAACCATTTAAAACATTATTTTGCTGAAATTTGTATATTTTTTGGGACATTTTATTACATAGCAAAATCAAACATTTTTAATAACAACTGCCTCAACTTGTGCAGTCCTCCATAACATTTTCATTTTTTTTTTTTTTAATGAAACTAATATTTTCAGACTCTTTAATAACCGTCTAACAGTTAGACTCTAACAGTTAGAGTCTAACTACTAACCTACGCCGTTAACCTTAATAATGAATGAGATATGTCATTTAATCAATTTTTAATCCTTTAGTTTTAGCAAAACATTTTTTTTTCTGTAAAAACAAAATTTTCAAGCTTGTCAATTTCAAACTTGCCTTGATATACGGCACATCTTTCCTTCTTATTAAATAAATAAAGGGAATTTACGAGCTCGTTAATTAGTATGAGCGAGGGACACACCGACGAAGATAAATTAACACGTTGCAACGACACAAATCGATCGTAAAAGTTTAAATGAACTATTAACAAGAAAACAACCAATAAAAAAACTATAAAAATCTGAAACATAAAAACTATACGCGTGCTCAAGCTACTTAATATTGGAGGTCTGAGCGCGTAACTATCCGTCGCATGCTTTGCTTTTGCTTCAAACGGGAAATACAGTGTTCAATTTATTTATGATTACACATTTTAAGCCTTAATTCATACATTGTTAGCGATAACTATTTAAATTTAATTTTTACCAAGTATCCAAAGAACCTAATTTATTAATTATTTTATTTTTTAATTTATACGTTGGTTTTTCAGCACAACTTTAACATTACTCTGCATTTTTTAATCAAATTTCGGAGCATTTTATATTTTGTAAATCTCGAAATACAAATTTTGGTAATAAGAATTTTTTTTAATTTTTCGCGATTCTCGATATATATTTTGCCGCGAATTTCAAAGACCTTAATTCGGCAATTATTTAATTTTTACACTTCTACAGGGTGAACCAAGTTTCCGACGCACAGAGTTTCAAGCTATAAGAAAAATCTTGGTTCTTATAACTTTGATATTACCATACATTTTTGTGAAATCCAATTTTGGACCTGCATATTTTTTGGTGAAAATTATTTTTTTAAATGTATTTCGAATCTTTTCGGTCTCTGTCATTTCTTTCGAATTTCGAACACCCTGTATCCAAGGACCTTAATTCGGTAATTATATGATTTTTTGAACTTTAAAATTTATTGTCGGTTATCAGTCATAAAACAATTTAAAAATCTTTGAGACGAATCAATCCAGATGTAAGTCTTTAATCGATATAATCGCGTCGATATCGATATCATAAACACTTGTTTTGGTCAGATATTTTGATTTTAAAAGGCATCTAAATTTAAGTCCGCTAAAAATTTTTTCCGGTATCTTTTATGAAATTTGGAAACCGTTTAAAAAATATATCTTGCAAGACTACGATAATGCTTTCTTCCTGCGTAGAGACGGCAATATCGATATTTCAAATGCTTAGCTTCACTCAATAATTCTTACGCCATTAAATTATTGTTAACTTTTCCTAGGGTTTTAAAATGATAATATTAAATTTTTCTGTCGTCAAAACAACAGAATGTATATCATGCAACAACTTTGCTCAATGAACTTTAGTGACGAGTTTGTTTAGGCACAAGCGGAGTGAGCGAGTGAAAAAGTATAGTCTGTCTGAATCCTCATCGTGCTGACTTTTCCTCGCAATTATGGAAGTTGCCAGCCAACGGCAGTAAAACTCAAGTCCGGTAGGTCTTAAAGGACAGAACTTTTGGGACGGACTCTCAAAGGTTTTGGTAATAGTATATTTATAATAACAAATCTGATTCTCACTTACTAGCAGAGTCGTCATTGAGATTAATTATAATAATATAATTATTCTCACGGTCAATTGACAAAGTGTTACCAAAATATTGCTCAGTATTTTCATTGCATTTCCATGTTATTTTCATATATAATTTTCATCTCCAGCCACCACAATGTAAATGTTTTTAATGAAAGGAGGAGTCCAGAAGTTTTATAAAAAGTAATAACGCTGTTGTTGGGAATATTTTTTAAGAGATTGTTTTGAAATCAATGTTCAAAAAGTTCGCTACTTGTATCCTCAAGATAATCCAAGCTAAATTACTTCATATTCTTTGCTGACAACAGCAAGTTTAGGACAATTCCGTCTTCTGACACAGGTGGTGATGCGTTTTCATTTATTTAAAGGTGATTTTGTCTGACAGTTTTGAGTGGAATCAACCCATCCTTTGGATACGGTGTCGTGTGTATCGAACCAAGTTTCGTCATGGTAATTTTGGATGTGCCTCGGATTTTGTTGAGTCGAACTTGTTAACGTTACTTAAATTTTCTCTATTTTGCGGTATTTAAATCTCATTTTACAAACAACTCTATGGAAGGTGATTTCATCTTTTAGCTTCTTTTTTAGTTTTTCCAACTTCGCTTTGATAAAGACAATATATTTTTCCACTCTCGTCCTGTTTCGTTTCCCACGAATCCGAGCCCCTTCGGACATTTCCGGGATTTTACCGCACGGATTTGGGAGCAATCGGATGTTTTCGGAGATATTTCCCACGCTTTGAATTTTGACGTTTGTTTTGCGAAATTGTACCCAAAAACTAACGGTCGTAGAAAAAGTATAGTATGCAACACGTTCGGTACACCTTTTAACTGACTCGTATATTAAAAACTCGCTCCGCTGCGCTCCGCTCGTGTCAAATAAACTCCTGGGTCAAATGCCGTTTACCGCACTTTGTTGCATAATATACTATTTCGTTCTTATTAGGTCCTGCTCAGTATTGTCTACACCGTATGTCTGAAAATCACTACGTTCATTCCTTTTATTCAATTTATTCAAAAATAAATAAAAAACATTTTTCAAATGAACTTCTACAGGCAACTGTAATACTTTTTAAAAAACTGTGGAAGTTGCTTTGAAAAATCAACAAAATTCTTCGAAAATATAGTTTTGCTTTACTTCGAGAAAGAATTAATCATACCCGTAAAGAAATAGATCAAATGAATAAGACTCTTCTATCTCTACATTTTGTCTCCATCCGACTTCGATACCCTTTCAAACATGAATCATGAGAAAGCGGAAAATCTAACCAAAATTAACGTCAACACTAGTGAAACCATCTTTCAGGTAAGCTCTGAGGAAGCCAACAGCGGAACGTCAGCAAGTTCGATTCGTCAACAACCAACGCAGGACGAATCCAGAAGTTTTTTGTTTTCAGGCAGGATATTTTTCACTCCACCCGCGTAGCCTAAATGCCATACGAACCCGTCCTACATAATTGGTTATATAATTCAGTGGACACCGTTTGGCTTCACCTGCAGTGTCCATAATGTCCATCAAACACCAAATCAATAAATAAACCAACTTCATCACCACCAAGACGTTGCTAGATCGACCGTCATCAATCGTGAATCAAATTACGACATACCTAATGTCGCGTGCTATAAAATTCGTATCAGACATGGCGGGATTCCGTTTATCTGGGCATCAAATCCCAAACGGATCCGAAATAGAGGAGGTCATTTTTCACGTGTCCGTTCGGTTGGCGGCAGTGGTAGTGGGCAATCGCGCTCGACAGGCAGGGATGTATTTATGCACTGACCGGAACGCTTAGGGGCGCATTGCCAATAATCGAGTCGGTCGTGACGGCCAGTGAAACAAAAAAAAATTGTTGAATCTTCCACTGCCGCGTTCGCAGAATTTTGCAGCAGATTATGATCGTCAGACAGAAGGCGTTCGTTTTTGTGGTGGTTCTACTCGAGTGGACAGGTTAGTAACGAAAAGAGTTTTGATTTTTCCAAATTTTTGTGTATCGCTTTCGGAAAAATTAAATCGAATTTAAAGGAAAAATCTTTCTATTTGTTGTTTCCAAAAAATTCGTAAAGTTCAAATTTTATTTTTGAGGGTATTATTTATGTTAGAAAAAATGCTTCAAAAACTTATATTTTTGCAATCAAAACCTATTTTGAAGGTTATTTTATTTCCTGAAACACTTATACCCACTAAAATAAATAATTTTGAGATAGACCATTTGAAGGGAGAAATTTTTCTATATCGTTTTCGGAAAAATTAAACCGATTTTCATTAGTTTTCCGTTGTTATTATAAAAAAAAAAATAAAAAAACAAAGCGTCTTATAAATTTTGGATATTATTTTCTCAAATATTTTACTAAAAAGTATCTTGGATTTCGTTTTTGAATGATAAAAGAAAAAACAATAAAAAAGTGAAAAATTATCACTTTCAACGTTAAGGGAGACCTCCATTTTGTATAGTTGTTTTTGCTACGGATTTTAAAAAATATATGGTACGGATAGCCCCTATTTATTTATTTTCAAGTAGTTTTGTTTATTTGCCAAAATAAAAACCAGGAATTTTTATATTTTTGCCGTCAAAACCTTCGTTTATGTCCTAAAGAACGCTTTTTAAAATTATATTGAGTTTATATTGTGATATTTGCATTCAGCGCAACTTCTATGTCATATTAGTTAAGTTAAATGAATCGGCATTTATATATAAATGTTTTTGACTTGTGAATATTCTGATTTTCAATAGTTTTCTATTGTTATTATAAAAATGTCGACTTTTTTAAATTTTAGATCTTGTTTTCTCAAATATTTTCTTCAAAAATGTCTTTGATTTCGTTTTTGAATGACTAAAAAAATAAAAAAGTGAGGTGTTACTATTTTAAATACTGAAGGTATTTTTTCAGACCAAAATTTTCTATAGCCAGTTGTTTTTGCTCGGTATGTAAAAATTTATGAGAATTAATGCTTTTCATATTTTGAATTCGGTGAAATTTGATTTATTTGAAATTTGCAAATGTTTCTATCTGGTTCACGGAAAATTTTCTTAAAGTTTAGATCGAATTTAAAGGAAAAATGAGGAACATGAGTGTTGCTTAGAGAAAGTTAAGTAATCAGTGTTTAAAGATAAAGGCTTTCCAATTGTGGATCGTGAATTTTCAAAACTTTTTATTTCTTTAAAAAATGCTCTAGATTTCGTTTGTGAATTATTTTAAAAAAATAATAAAAAAGTGACACGTTATTTTCAACGTTCAGGGTTTTGTTGATACCTCATCTTTCAATAGTGGTTTTTACTAATTGGTTTTGGGAAAAAAATGACGGTGAAAAAAATTTTAAATTCTTATTTTATTGTTTTATTTGTCAGAATAAATGCTCGAAAAGCTAATTTTCTTTAATTTTTTGTTTTATCTATCTATCATTTAAATTTTATTATATTTATTTTACGTCTGACGCCTCAGATTTAAATTTGATGAAACTTTTATATTATTTATGCGACAGAATTTTTCATTTTAGCAATTCTTTTTATATCGATGTCGGAGAATTTAATTAGAGCTTAGATCGAATTAAAAGGAAAATTTTGAAAAATTAGTGGCAGGAGTGTTACTTATATCTTATATATACTTATATATATTATATATCAGGAAATTGTGAATATTCCGGTGTTCGCTATTTCCTGTTAGTATTATAAAAAAAATTACAAAAGTGTAAAATTATGTCGACCTTTTGAAACAATCTAAATAAATTATATAAATACGTAAATATCTTATCATAATACGGTAACTTTGATCACTGCTTAAGATTATAATAAAGGAAACTACCCAGTTCGCTATCGTTTATTTACCCCGAAGCAAGATTAACATAAATACGTGTAATAATACATAAATTTCCGAACAAAACAAATCATGAACCTTTTCAATTGTCCTCTGAAAATTATCAGTACGATAAAATAACTAGAAGATGAAAAATTACAAGCAAGATACGGTTTAAGTGCGTCCGAAAGGGCAGAAAATTAACAACAAAAGACGGCTTTATAATATCGCAGCCTGGACGATAACATATTATATTATTATCAGCGATCCTTCTAACGCGATCATGCCGGTGGTTTGCGCGAGTTGTCTTATTGTGATGGTGATATGTGGCGTAGGTTGGTTTATTCTAAATCTAAGTGAACAATTATTCCAAAATCTTAACGTTTTTATCGTTATTTTTAGGCCAATTCGTCTCGGCTTCGGACTGGAAATACGGAAATGAAGGTGAGTGAAAAAGAATTATTTTTGGTTTAGTCTATATGAATTTTTTTTCAATTTTAAAGTTTATTGATTACTCGAAAATCTTTCAACCGATTTTGATAAATAAAGTCACTTATTTTTAAATTTTTGTGCCGGAATAATCAGGGCAAAAGTTTTTAATTTCTACCTTGAACACGAAAAGAGATAAAAGAAAAAACGAAAGTACCGTAGAAGGCTCATTTTTGATCGCTTGATCTGATGAAATTATTATTAAATCTTCAAAGCTTCAACAGTGATGTACCGCTACTTTAGATATAAATATAAATTAAATCACGCTCTATACACAGGGTGGCCCACGACATGACTGTCATAGCTTGAGAGTGTGTTGCTAGGGTGGAACGCTATTGAAAATCATTTCCAGAGAACATGTATGTTATGCAATCTGACCACTCTAATAATATTAATTGGTTCAATTCAAGTTTTTCAAAATGTCCGCCCAGTTGCTGTTGACATAGTCTAGTTCTTCTTAGAGTTGGAGTAGTAGATCTGCTAACAGTCTCGGGAACAGCACGAAGAGTTTCTGAGGTATCCATAATTCTAGCTAGCTCCGTTTTCATTAGTTTCTGCATAAACTCAAGTTTTCAGTCTTCCCCATAAAAAGCAATCTGTTAATGTCAGGTGACCTTGCATGCCAACGAACTGAGAACCTCTTCCAATCCACAGGTTTATATAATTTCGATTAAGAAATTTTGTGACTCGTTCACATTCGTTGTCTAACATTAAAAAGACCATGATCCAGTAATATCTGATGATCACTTTCAATGAAACATAAATAACGAATGACCAATGGGTCGGTCACACCAACGAAAATGTGAATTCAGGTCTTGAAACACAGCCGGCAGGTTTTAAAGCTTGTACAGGTAAGAAGTGGTACCGGTACCAACCGAAGTTGTGTAATGTACTCAATACTCTCATCTGGCATACGTTAAGTTTATTACCTATTTTTCTGACATTCGTAGAAGGTTGGGCCTCAAACGTATTAAGTATTGCCTCTTCCGGATGTACTTCCAAGCTATGGCAGTCATGTCGTGGGACACCCTGTATAACAACAAAAAACAAAGACTTGCCATGTTTTATCAAATTCAACTTAAAGGTTTTTGAGTAATTTTGGAAAAAAACACATTTTTCCAAAAACTTTGACATCCTGTATAGCGAAAACAAAATAAGTTAGGACACAGTGTGCGCGAACATATAGACGAGGTTTTGGCATTTCAAAAGTTCCAATCTTTCCTTTCCTTAAACGTCTATGTCCTGAAACCCTGCCGCTATCCAATTTCCGTTGGGGGTGTAAACGACACCACCGCTTTCAGCGGGGGTGGATGTTTTTGGTAGTCGACATGCGAAAATTATGAGCCCCAGAATTACAAGAGAATAACAAGATTGCTTTTGAAAAATCGTCACTGGGCGGGGCAAGTTTGTAGCGCGTAGCAGCTTTGTATTTCAAAAAACTAACCAAAACAGTGAGGCATTATTTTTCTATCGTTCTCCTGCGAACCACTATAGAACTTTCGCAAAATCGATGTAAAGATGTTACACCCTGTATCAACCGTCTTTCACCACGTATCGCCAAATTTCAAAGTCACTACAAACTTTTTATCCACAAAAATGGCAATTTTCGGGGTCTTATAGATTTTTTACCCATAATCGACACACCCTGTACGTATTTGAAAAAAATCTGGAAATAGAGGTTAGGCCCATGAATCTTTATCACGTCTTGACTGAGCTCCCGGAATAGTGATTTTCATATGGATTTTTTCAAATATCTCGATAAGCGTGCGAAAACCGCAAATAAAAAAATTGTAGCTCTTGATGCGGCCTTTACTCGGGAAAAAAACAATTTTCTGTTTTTTTTTTAGATTTTTGTCTGTAAGTGGCAAACCCTGTATATAATCGTAAAAATGCCTGAAATAAATGTTATGGCACTGTATCTTCCGCGTTTGCTGGTTAAATAATTTTGCCGATCGGGTGAATGGTTATGGAGAAAAACATGTTTTTCTGGAGCCCAACATAACCAAAAAAATAATTCAAAATTTTTTCAAAAAAAAAAACTTTGTGAAGTTTGATTGCCGCCATTTTTTTCTGTTTAAATGTGGGCACGGACTTTTACTTCTCTGCTAAATTGGAAGTGGATATCTGCAAATTTAGGACACTTATATACCACGGAATATCTGGAACACCCTTTACAATACTTAAAAACCTTAAATACAAAAGTTTTAGCTGTCTATATAGGCTATATCGTCATGTAAAAGAAACTAACATCTGAGATACAGTCCTTTGGTGACATCCAATTCTCAATATTAATATTGAATTTAATATGCGGCCCACTCACCCACATATTTTTAATAGTCGTTAGTCCCTCGAAAGAGCGGGAGTTATTCGGACATGAAACCGTTCTATAGGACTATTTTTAAAATCAAAAAATCTCCGAGGGTACCAGTCAAACGTTATACGACCACGACCACTAAATATTACGCGTTTTAAATGCCTGCCAGCGCATTAACGTTAGTAAACAGCGATTCATCAACCGATTCAGATTTATTGTCGCCGTTTTTCTTTTTCCTCTTGCTCGGCGCGTATTTTTAAAAGCCCCGCGTTCTCAAACGCGTCGTAGAAAATTGCCGGTACCCCCCCGCCCTCCGTACCGCAAAATTTGCGTTCCTTAACTTTCGGCGTTGAACCGAATTGAATAATGGCGTATATTTATGCACTGCAGGCAATAAAGGTTTTATTTAGTTTGATTGCAGCGCCGGCAAAGATTGTTCCCGGACGTTTGTTTTGATTTCGTTCCGAATTCGACGGGGTGGTGGCGGGCGGGGAGCGTTTATTTTTCCTATTAGACGTCGAGTTAATCTTAAACATCGTCGTTAAATATTTCGCTTCGATGGATTACGCTTTATCGGAGAGCCGAGCGGTAATCCGAGAAAATCAAGGGGAACTGGATAAGCGTTTCTGACAGGTCACGGCTGTCGTATTATGGCCGATTATGTATTATCACCGCGGGATTTGGGGATTTGCTACGAGACGCTAATGAGGATGCGCGATCTGGAGGAAAATGGCGAACGATGTAATCGTTCTGTAATGGACGCTAGTTTTACAGTGCCGATTAATTTGTAAAATAACTGATGAATTTCTTCATGGAACAAACAATAAAATTTATTGACTATTTTGGAACGGGGTGTCCCAAACAACTCAGAAATTCCTAACGATAGAAAAAAAAGAATTAGATTAGAATTGCTTTCATTTTCGTATATGCAAGATGTTCCGTTCATCTGAAACAAATACTAGCTGTCTTATTTTAAATAGAACACCCTATATATTATTGCGGATTTTAATTCCACCTAAGTCGAACCGTTTTCGACAATTCTTGAATTTTATATCAAAACTTACGTTTGTAGACCTAAGGGAGCCATAATTGTTTAATTTTGGATGAGTGCGTATTTTGAATGTAAATGTTTACAGGGTGATCAAAAATAGAAGTAAAAAATCTTTTTTTTTTCAAACGCAAAGCCATAGTTTTATAAATTTTAAATAAACGTGTTGCTGTAGGCAATGTAGTTAGAAAATTAGAACGACTTGTATCGCTGAAGATGGGGCTCAAGTTTAGGAATTTTATTTATTTATTTTTAAATTTACAATTTTAAAATTATAGTCATATATTTTTTCAATCTTGACAGACTCTGAATTTTCTTGGAGGTGCTGTTAAAATTCAATAAAACCTCAATTTTTTTTAGGTCAGCATTGCTTTTGAACAAGTTTGAATTCTGAAACTGGCTATCCACATCACCCGATTTGTAATCCTTAGAAGGGAAACCTTGAAGAATCTACAATGGTTTTTTTTAGAAATGTTCTTTTTAACTAAGTAATTTTAAAACTAAACGGATTATTCAGAATATTTTTGTTGATTAAAATTATACTTTATTTGATATTATGTTGCGTTTTGTTTGAGTCAAATATTACAAACGCATTTATCAACATTTGCTTAATGTCGAACCTATAATGATGGAACTGAACAGCATTTAGGTTGCTTTTGGTCAACACATTTCTTGCAAATATACCAAAGGAATAACATCCACTCAAAAATTCTAACTGAACCCGCGTAAACAGACGCCTAGCAATAGTGGATCAGTTGAAAAACTTCCTTAGTTCATACGTTCGCCATGGCTATTCATCATTCTTTTACATAAAAACAAAGTATCTAGCAAAAATATTTTCAAAGAACCATCGCTATACATACACAGGGACTGTGCTACAAACATTTTCTTTCTTGAAGATTTTTAGTTACTTTTTTTTTGATAATTTACTCTTCTTGCTCTTACTTTTCCTCTAATAACACTTTGCTTAGCCCAAACAATGGATTACAAAAAATTATCTCTATCTGTTAACCATACCTTTTTACAGGGTGTCAAGGTTAAGGTTTCAAAAATGCGTATTCACTACAATCTCCATTTATTATGCATATTTTTATTTAGGATTTTTCAAGGATAGTCGTACCAACTGGCTTGGTACATAGTACCAGTTGTAAGCAAAAAAATGGTTCAACTAAAACTTTCAAAAAAGAGGCAAAAAAGTCAGACCCTTAACTAACAAAAAGGAACGATAAATACTTTGGCGTTTTTTTCGCCGAATATTGACATTTTTAATGATTTATGCGGTCCAATTGAAGATATACGAAAATCGCTAAAAGATTTATAAGTCACTTGTTTTAATTATTTTGTGACTAATGTTACACTTTATCTGCTGATAATTTGATAATTTTTGAAAATCTTTGCCGAAAAAACTTGCTGTAATATTTGAAAAAAAAAAAAAGCATAATCGATAAACAGCCAGTCATCATTTATACTAGAAATAACAACATGACCGTATAGTATTTTTGTACCGAAACAAAACAAACAAAAAGAAATTTCCTATAGGCATTCGGCCCCAAATACTTCACGTGTTATAAAACAGGCCAGAGCAATTAAGTGCAATGAGGCGTACAGCTATTTTCATATGTCATTTCCTTGCCAAGTCCAAGTGGAAAGGAAAACTACATGACTCGCGACTTCTTGAAATCCGGGTGCTTCAATAACGCGATATTCCTAAATCCAAAGGACCTCCAAGATTTGTGCCGCGAGTTTCAGCACTTCGGTAGCTTTTTAGCTCTAGCAACGCTTGCGCGAAAAGCTGCTACACGCAAAAAAATAAAAATAACGATTTAAATCCGAAAATGGGACGTAATTTGGGCCGCCCTGTAACTGTCGGTTTTAATCCGCGCAGTTTACTGAGACACCTGTTTCAATGGCGTTACGTCGAGTAAGTGTGTATCTAAATATAGAGAAAAAATGTAAGGGTATTTCATGATATTATTGTTTTATTTTTGATATACAGGGTGTTGAAGATACGAAAAATTGTTTTTTCCTTACTAGCAATGAAATTGCTATGGACATTTTGTTCATTGATATGATTTTTCTAAAATTAATTTTCCATTTTCACCAGTGGCGTCGCGACAAGCAGGACACTCAATATTTTGAACAAAGAAAATGTCGCGATTCATTCCTTAGTAAAAATGACCATATTTCAACCCCAAATACAGATGAATTTTTTGTTAGCAAGATTTCCCACTACCAAAAAAACAGTATTATCATTATTTAATATTTAATTTAATTCTAATGATAAAATAAGATTTTTAATGGTTTCAATTTTTTCGCTGTAAACAAAGTCCAGAGGTCATTTTTACTAACAAATTAATCGGGATTTCAAAATTTAACTTATTTGCGAAAAAAGCATTGGAGTGCCTTTTTTTTTCAATAAACATGTACCTACCAAATTCCAACAAAAGCCGTTTTTTTTTTTAATAATCTTCGCACCCTGTATTTAAAATATTTAAGAATAACACCGTTATTATGAAGTGAAAATATGATTAATTTTTATTTTTTAAGGTGCCTGGCCTGAATTGTGCCAAAGCGGCTCTCGGCAGTCTCCCATCGGACTGTCCCCGTCCATCGCCATGTGGAAAAATTTCAGCAGATTGATAATGGAAGGCTACGGTCAGCGTACGGTAGCGGTAATGAAAAATAACGGTCATTCGGGTAAGTCCTCACCTGAAAATTTCTCCCGCCAATCTGTCAAGAAAACCGCAAAAAAAATCAAGCGCCTCCAAATCGCAGTCTCCTCACTTTTGGCAGTAGAATGTATTCTACAATTAGGACCTGATAAAAGTCGTTCTTTTTAAAGTTCTATGTTGTTTCTATGTATTTTTTTGTATATTTATCTCCTAAGCACACATCATTTATTCAGATCCTAAAGGTTCCTGGAAGACGCCGAACTATTTGAACATTAACGCGTAGCCAATAGAGGAGGATGTGGAAAGAGTAATATCCAGAATTAAATCAAAAGCAAAAGGTGTGGAGGGCATTGATCTGAAAATACTTTCTTTAATAAATCAATGTATTATTACCTCCAAATTTCCCTCATTGTGGATAACTCCACCATCTGAAATATTACATTTTCGCCATATTAGCTTACTTAGGATTATATACCGGGTGACACAAGGAAGAGGGAACACACTGTAGCTTTTAAACGACATAACGATTTGAAATTTGAAAGGGGTAATATGGGCAGAATGTCCAATTTTTTTATAATATGTAGTCAATGGCACTTCCGGTTTGAGCGGAAACGATATCTTTTTTTTGTTTTTTATTTTATTTTTGAAAATTGTGTCTAGGAGAGACCTGTGATAATAAATACTATTTACCGGGTCACCCGATCATGGGAAAAATTGTAAATGAAACTTTTCTTTACTTGTCTAATGGCAATGGCAAAATATACAGGATGTTCCATTTAAAATGATAAAGTTGACATTATTTTGGGAAAAAAAGGTTTTATGTCAAAAATGTTAGCGATATTGACAGCAGCTTCGTTGTCACGCATAACATGACCATTTTCGTCGTTTAATTGTAAGCCCGCGATATACGTCGGCCATTTTTTCTAGCCGAGGTGCGGCTCAAACACGTGCAAAATCCCAAAGTCCACGGGGGCGGTTTGCCCGGCTTCTACGAGCTGGACCACCTGCATTTCCACTGGCAGTCCGAGCATACCGTCGACGATATCAGGTAAGTAAAGTAAATTTTAAACAAATTGTGGAAAGTGCGAGGATTTGACGCCTGCCCGGGGATTTCGCGCATATTACGTTAGGACTGACGGTTAAAAATATCGCTTTAATCTCGCACCCTGCCGCACACGAAGGATTTCATTTAAATTTTATGGACGGCAAATTGGACGGGGGACCCGGTGGGCGGTGGAGGGACTTTTTTTTCGCACTTTGAAATTCATCGCTTCCGCAGTAAAATACTCGGAGTTTTGTTTCATTAAAATACTCTGAGAAATGTTAAAATTATATTTCAGAAATGTGTATGCATACCTCATGACGTATGCAAAAAGAGACGTGACATTACATAGCTGTTTAAAAAACAATACTACTACTACAAATAAATACTAAAAATTGGTGATCAAGACAAAGACAAACGTTCGGTACCACTTACTGTTTGTAAAAGTATGTGGACCAGGCGATCCCTGCCTTTTGTAGTATCAATGATATGGCCAGAACCAACAAATGACCATTTCTGCATGTGGAGATAATACTAAATATTTGAAAAATATTGTTTATCCGAACCTCGCGTTTGCACATGGCCTAGATGTTCCAGTACCTGAGAATTCAACCAATTTAGAAGAAAATAGAACCAGTTTTTCTGAACCTGAAATGGCACACTCCAAAATGGCAGTTGTGCAACACCAGCAGTATGGACAGTTGCATTATCGTGCAAAAGACGCACGCCTCTGGTCAGTTTTCCTCGACGTTTTACACGTATGCAGTCTCGCAATTTATGTAATAATTTTGCGTAATATTCACCATTGACAGTGGTATTAGTTTCTTTAAAATCTATCAAAAGAATTCCTTCACAATCCCAAAAGATCGTGGGCATCACCTTTTTTGTTGACTGGCAGGCTCTGAATTTTCTTGGAGGTGCTTCACCCCTACGACGCCACTTAATTGATTATTTTTTCGATAAAGGGTCATAATAGAGAACCATAGTTTCATCTCCCGTCACAATAGTTTCTATCACAGGCTTCGGTTCCGACCGACAGACACGGCGTTATTTTTGAATAGCCGAAAGGTTTTTAGGAACCCATCTGGCACTAACCTTATGCATACCTAAATGATCACGCAGGATTCGATGAACACTTGTATCAAAAAGCTTAGCAATTTCTGAGATTTCCTTGACCTTTAAACGTCGATCACTCAATACCACCTCTTCCACAATCGCAACAATATCTTCCGTTATGACTTCCACTGGTCGACCAGTTCTTGAATCATCTTCAAGGGACTCCTGCCCCATTCGAAAACGTATGGCCATTCTTTCACTACAGAATACGAAGGAGAACTTTGGCCATACACACCATCCAGCCGTTCTTTAATAATTTTAGATGCTAACCCTTCTTTTGTCAAAAACTTTATGACTGCTCTATACTCAATTTGCGTTATTTGCGGCATTTTTTCGGACACGTCTTGTTTAAAATCCTGTCAATAAAAAACTATTTGACGCAAGACTTCAATTCTTTTTTCGCTAAAGAAAATTGCAGAAATGAAAAAGAAGTCGCCCCGTTTTCGGAGGCACTCGGTATAGTAAAACAAATATCTGACTGCGTGCAAAATAAAAAAAAACGCACGAAATTTTTTTCTCCTTATAAAAAGAAACACTTTTTTCTTCCTTTATTGGCCTATCATAGCAAATCACCTGTTTATTTTATTCTTTCTTTGGCTTTTTGGATTTATGACTATTTTTCATTGTCCACTTTTTGTTTTTTTCCTTCACTCTACTTTTTTCTTCTTTCGGTTTTCTTTATTTTTTAGTTTTATTGTTGAAATATTGAGTCAGGCAGCTTGAGAATTAAAGGGTTTTTATTAAAATATTTTCATTCGTTATGCGAATCAATACTTCAACAAAGGAACTGACCAAAACTAAAGAAACCTAACCAAGATAACCAAAAGTTTCAACGGTACATCACAAGGCCAGGCAATACCGGGTGTTACAGAAATCAGTACAAAACATCTTAATAAATCAAAAATAAGTATTTTTCCGTTACTATAAGCACTGCTAATGTTGAGACGGAGAGTGCGTTTTATTTAAATTTTATCGAGCGTTTATTTTCAAACATGCCGAGACTTCACTGCGAAAATCTCGTTTTATTGTCGAACACCCGATAAAAATCGAATCGAAAACAAACGAAAATCGCTTCGAAATTGCTATTTCAACGTTACGCGGCGAATTTTTCGAATTTCGTCTACTGCATCGGCGCTTTTTAATTGTTATTGCGATCGGATGTCGGTCGTAAAATCGCAAATCTCCCCGTTAATTCGTCAGACGGCCGATAAACGATATCGGGAGGGAAAAACAATGCGCCAGATTGCGTGACGAAAAAAACTGTTCCAGATTTCCGCTAGAATTGCACCTGGTGCACCACATCAAGGGCATGGAGATGACGGAGGCGGTCGAGCATCCCAATGGGGTGGCAGTGTTCGCGGTTATGCTCGAGGTAAGACTGGATGGGGAAGGGTTCCGTAAATGTTTAAGTTTCGGATAAAATTTTAAACCCATTTAAATAAAATTCCGCCCCATTGTGATAAAATGTGCAAAAACGTTAAACGCGCTCTCATTGGTCAGCACCCTTTCTTCTTATTTGCATTTTGGGCAAGTGTGCTAGAGACACCCGCCCATTGCGGACTTCCGCCAGGATTTCTTCTTCTTTGCCCTTTTGCCTTTGCAAGAGTGTGTCAATTCAGATTGATTGAAGGAAAATAAGACACGCTACAAAGAAATTGAAGATACTTGGCTTTGTTGGGAGTTTCTTATAGAAACTGCTGCGGATTCTGCCCTTAATAGAACTTCATCCTCTTCGTTAACAGATCCGCGATATCCACAGATCATTTTTCATTATTCTAAAGTATTCGGGAAAATTAGAGAAAGATCTAGAGCTTAAAGATCTTTAGAAAGATTGGGCTACACTACCAGTATGGCTTTAATTATTTCAGTATGGCTGGGAACCAGACGTACATCTTAAGCAGTCATGCATAAAGTTGCTGTTATTCTGTCACGCAAATATAAGCATTTACACAAGGGTGGGGTGAAGAGGGTTGGCTAAAAGGTTGCAATGGTAACCACGTAAGTAAAGCGTTACTTTTATATAGTTGAATTAGACGACTTTGCCAATTTGGAAGAAAACAAGAAAATAGGTCGACTTGTCTATTAAACGCGTCTTTATTTTCACTTTCAAAAAATCACTTCCACACCCGGTGCCTGCTGAAGTTCCTGCTCCTGTAGTCTAGGAGTCTGCGTTAGCTTCCTACGCAAATATAAAATTTATAGCTAGTGCTATATTTATGCTTTTTATACGCTTCTAGTCTTGTTTTTTGATGGCTTTTTAACTATTCAGTTCTTAACTACGAACAAGTCTATTCTCCGACGGAAAGCGGTAATGGCCGAGTGCCCCTAAATAGCTTGCCCAACGAACTCGAAAAAGTAGATTATCCTTTCACATGATATCGGCACTTGAATCTCTCCGCCACCTAGCGGCTGCACAAGAAACCAAACAAAATACGTAACGCGAAATATTAGCAAATCTTTACTGCAATAAAAGACATTTATATATAGTATTTAAAAAATTCCACGTGTTTGAATATGTTTACAATCCAAATAAGTCAGTCATTAAGTTCTTAAAATTTATGTTATTTTTATATACTAGGACAGGACTCCTATCTTCCACAAAACTATTAAACCTAACACATTTTTCAGTCTTACTTATGCGTTGCAATTGCTCCGAAAACCCCGTTTATACGCTTTTTGCTTCCATTTGAACTGATGTTCTACAATAAAATAGGTATTTCATTTGCTTCGATAATAGTACTGGCAGATCTCTTTCTGATGATTTTTAGATTGCTAGCTTGAGGATCAGGAATAAAGAACATATGTAGCTCGTAGTTTCAGTTTTCTGTAATTATCATTGAAATTTTCCTATTTTTTGCCTCTATCTGTCTTGTTAATCGAAGCATGCTTATTCACTAGTGTGCTGGACAGGCGATGACATATGAAACTACTACTCATTCGAGCTGTAACATTAATCAGTTTGTATTTGTAAACTTCTTAACTTTAAGACTAAAATGGTTACATATTCGCAGATTTAAGTATCAACGTAGGTAAACGAACTGTAAATTGACATTGAGACGTTCTTACTCTCCTCTTTTGGTTATGTTTTCAGTAAGCTTCTAGGCGGTCATTCTCTCTGCTCTCATTCTTCTCATACATTACACTATTTTTAGTGTATCACCGACCCATATATCTCTAAAAGTCCATTTTATTGTTCTGTAGCTCCACGTATTTTACAGATCAGTCCCGACGACGAGGAAGACTTCGAACCACTTCTCGACATCCTGGACAACTTAAAGGACACTGTCGGTGAAGTCCGGCAGCTGACCGACTTCAGTGTCAAAGACTTCCTGCCCAAGGACAAGGCGGGGTTCTACAGGTACGAGGGCTCCCTCACTACTCCCAACTGCAACGAGGGGGTGATCTGGACCGTGTTCACCAACACGCTGAGAATCTCGAGGTCTCAAGTGAAAAAGTTCGAGCAAATCAAGACGACGGAAAAATCGCCTCTGACCCAAAACTTCCGGGGTATCCAGCCGCTGAACGGCAGGGCGGTGTACCTCAAAAGAAGCCCCGTAATGGATTCCTCGGCAAGAGGAGTGGTACCGTCCGCGTGGCTGGCCGTTTCGCTTGTCTACGTCGGGCTCAGATGGTGAGCACGTTACAAAAGGAACGAAACGGAGCCGAAATGATTAAATACTCGTCCGAATGGGAACGGCACTTATCATATTGATAAAATAGGAACAAACGTCGCATATCAAGACTAACATATAATGTCCCGAGCTACGAATGGGACCTTCCGGTGAAATTGCATTACTTAACCAACTTCCACGTGATTAACTTCACGTTTAAATCAATGGAGATCGTACAAATAATGAACGTAACCGTTGAATTTCAAAAAGTAAAGCCTCCGTAAATAATTCGTATTAAATAATATAATACGTTGATGTCAACTTTACGTAAAATAACGTCACTGACAATACATTTTAATTGTTAATAAAAAATTTATGACGAATCGGTTTGTTTTTGTGTGGGGGCGGGGGGGGAGGCGGGTCCGAAATAATTAAAAATTCAATATTTATTACGCACCTTCATACAAAAATAATTAAAATCAAATCACACGCTACATACTGCGAGACAGTAAGAGATACCGGGACCGTACAAAAATATAAACGTCTTAAATGGAATGTCGTCTCGTAGAAAACGCAAATTTTGGGGGCAACTTAATTCGTTCAAATTCCATACAATTTATACGGGTCGGCTACGGATAAAATGGTAATTTTACCGTAAAATCCTCTCGCGTAGCCTTTGGTCCGAGACATTCCATTTCGTGGCTCGACAATCGAGTTTCGAGATGGTGGAGCGCTTAAGGGAAGCGACGCTAGCCGCTCAGATCCACGCTAGTTAAAAAGTAAAACACCCTCTACGCTGAGAGTTACAAATAACTTGGCGATTACAGACAATGCGCTACCGCGGACTGGATGCTAGTTTAATCGACTCAAAACGGGTATGGAACAGGAGATAAAGTTTTAAAACAAAATTTATATATCTGATACACAGTAACCTCTCCTTTATAAGAAATGCGGTTTTAAAAGATCGGCTCGGAGCAGCACCAGACCCAAGTTTAAAAATTTTTATTAGTTTTAATGAGTGATAAAATCATCCTTATAGTCTATTAGTAAGCCAGACGGAGTAATAAAACAATTAAAAGGTCCGGTGATACATGAATGCATTGTTTTCATTCCCCCATTACCTTCAAACCGTGCTATGGGCTCAAACTACTAGTTACATTACTTAGAATTCCTATAATTTGCAGACAAAACATAGAAGTACCTGTACTCTAGTAACGTACTCTGTTCATTTTACTTATATTTTGAAATTTAAATTGCCCGGTTTGATAGGCTCAACAGTTTCAGTTAAACTCTGAAGAAGTCAACAGGATAATTAGCAAAACGTCATCACTACATTTGATTGGATCATATCGTGAGAATCCTACTCAGCAGATAGTAGAGACAGATTCTTATGGCAGACCTGTTGGCTCTCATGCGGTAAAGTATGTTCCTTGGGGCTCTACTCTGAGCCCTCTGTGGTATAAATGAAGTCTGTAGTAGAATACATGAATATACTGTATTGTATACAGATGATCCTTTAGGCATTTGATGCCCTAAGCTTAGCTACTTACTGCTATGCTATGCAGATTAACATATGAACCTCCGTTTTGGAGTAACCCTTCCGATTTTGACAGGATTTTGCTTTAAAAAATTTATGTTTATGTAGTATTTTTGGAATCGCTATGGTTGGTTAGTTTGCGTTTAACAATGGTATAAATCTAAAATTTTACCTGACATATGTAACTTCACCTATACTCAGAAATATGTCAACTATTTCTTAATTGCAATCTACAATAGTTTTCCCGAAACTATTCATAATAAGGCTGAGAAAAATACGAAAAGCACAATTCATAACCATGTTTTGCGAAAAGGCTACTTCTAATTTGTAGGTACCGATGACTATTTTTTTTTTTACAACGTATTTTTATTATTCTTTTCGACTACTTTAGACGATTATCTGCCTTTCAAAATAAAGGATTCTTCTCAATTCATCAAGAAAAATAAAGAATATGCTTAAGTTCGTGCGTTAAATTCATTCCTGCAACATCTACTTTTCCGTGTTTTTTCGACAAGGAACGTTAATATGTGGAGATAGAAGAAACGGAGCAAGTTTGCCATCAATAAAAAAACAACTTTTAAAAAGTAAATAAGTTACTTTTTTATATTTTTCGCCAACCTTTTTTCACGAACAAACGTTTTACTACTCCCTATTCGCTTAGAAAGACTATAAGCGTGAGCTTACACGTTCCCGCCGATGGTTCCGGGATCGGACGCTCCAGAAACGCGGTCAGATTAAATTAACATCCTGTATATTGCTACGCGGGCCGTTTTTATTCGCAAGACTGTTGAACGAAGCCCGCGGAGATGAAATCGTTGATCTGCAGGGGTACGGGAAGCACGCTCGACGTCGTGGTCTGTATTATTGCTTGGTTGGGCAGGGCTGTTTGAAAATATGGCACCAGATATCCCATCGTCCCTATCGACGCCCCCGGATTGGCTGCGCAGATTATTTTATATACAACCCGGTATAGGCTATCTTACATGATCATGGAGGAATTTTTATGACGCATGCTCATTTTTTTAAAGCCAACAATAAAAACATTAATTAGGCGAATGCGCTGGTTAGTTCTAAACTAATAAGCAATGGGGATAGTAGTCAATATTATCAATATATTCTTTAAATATTAGTAAATAATAAAATTCAAAGTATTATAATTTTTCAAAAAAAAAACCTCTAATAAAACGCATATAAACTGTGTAAAGTCGAATTATTTAAGTCTCTTTATAAAGTTTATCAGTCAGAGCGTATGCAGAGCGTATATTTTATGCGTGTTCTTTCAAAAAAGATTTAAAACACATTTTTACCAAAATATAATAAAAATGTAAATATTGTATTTTTCTTGGAAAAGGGAAGAAGCTTAAATATATTTTTTAAATTTTTTAAACACTAAATCAATAAAATAAAGAATATCAAAACACTCACTTAATTTTTAAATCTAAATGATATGATAAAATTGAATCAATAATTTTTGTTATTACATGGAGTTAGTGTATAATTACATTAATATATTTTCTTTATATGATAACTCGATGAACTATTTTTTTTATTAATAGTAAAAGTACGATTCATTACATAATGACTTTTGTTTCTGTGTTTAGACTTCCCGTTACGTCTGGCAACGTTTCACATGCCAATACATATTTTTGTGTATTTTTCAGAATTTGAAATAGCTTTTTTAAAATCGTTGACGAGTTTTCTTTAAAATAAGAACAGATAAGTGAAATGAATGTTCGTTTTGAAGATCATGGAAATAAAAAAAAACGTGTATTTCATGTCCAATATAAATCAGTACTGCAAGCAAAATATGACACACTTAAAAGCAATTTTAAAATGAAAATCAAATAGAGTACACGGTATCGAAAGTTCTAACAACTAAACCAAACTAATAAACACAAAAAATAAAATAAAAACATAGAAATTCTCAACAATAACAATAAATGTTTGCCCATGTAAATACGTTTTTAGGGAACCAAATAAGCAGACTGGATTTTGTTCCAGAACCCACCGCGAGGTGGCACTTGAGACGTTTTCAACTATCTGCGCATTTTTTTTTTATTTGTGTGAATTTTCGTGTCTTATTGTTCGTTTTTGGTTTGTGGTTTGCGGATTATTATCGAGAACGTTACAGAAAATGTGTGGTATTGTGGAAATGTCTTGTATTGTTTGTTCTCACTGATGATAATGAAATTTGAATTAATTAGATGATCAGCAACATAGTTCATGAGATTTTTTATATAATATAATTTGCCATTCAGAGAGAACCTACAATATATCAGCGAAATGTCAGTGTCTTGTATTCTCCGTGTCTAAAATTTATCTATATATACTTATTTTTTTTTCTCAAATAAATGATTTAAACTAATTATCTCAAAAATTATAATATAAAATTAAAAAAAAAATGACACTTTTTAGGTTCATGTTATAAGTTAAACACTAAATTCCGGTTCAATAACTTTCTTCTTTAAAATTTAATGAATTTTTGATTTGAGCGCCATCTTCCTTGGGATTTATGAAATAGTGCAGAGTTCTCGATACTATGAAGTTGTAGTAAAATCATTTTAGGATTCTAATTTTACAGAAAAATAGAAAAATAATATGCATAAAAATAATTAAAAATCTGGTTTTAAAATCTTAGAAATTTTAAGTAGAAAAGTACCAGTCTGAACGAAATTATCCATATTGTGCATGAAACATAGGTTTTCAATAAACAATATACAGACAGTTCAAAATTAGATTGTCGATAACAAGGGAGAAGGACAAATATTATAAATTGCACTTTATAATATTTTTTATGGGAAATAATAATAATAAGTTCATTTAATTTAAGAGAGTGAACTATATGTGCAACAAAACAAAAAACATTATAGATATGCAAAAGTTTTCATACTAGATACATATTATGTAAGTGAAAGGAGAAGGATTAACATTAAATATATTTAAGTTCATTATTGCATTTCTCCTTATCACACATCATAAAATAGTATTATGTATTTGTCCAAGGGTAAACTGCAGAGGAATTATGGTATACAGTATGAAGCAATCCCCTAGTGAAATTCTGGGCGATTCTAAGGAATTCTGAGGGATTTCAAGAAATTACTTTTAAAATGTGTGTGTGTAGCTCTACGGTTCACACTGTTTTTTTTTGTTCACCTGATAGATGGCCGTACAATACTTAAATACAAAAAAGATTTCTTTACCGACATTTTCTAAATAGATTCGTTTTGCCGAGCTGGCGCCGTTGACGACAAACTATGCTGTGTCAATTGCAGCGTCATAAAAAACATATCAAATGTGTGCAGAGCGCCGTTTAAAAATAAAATGGGGCGTGGCCGCCTGAGATGCGTCAAGAAAACAGATATTCCCCGCCCACAAATGTCCCAACTCACCGGCCAGCAGTTCCAGCTGCTGATTGAAGGTGGTGGCGCACTTGGAGTCCGCGACCGGGAAATTGAGGAAGCCCTCTTGCAGCAGCAGCTCGTCCGCCTTCGATAGGCAGACGTCGCTTATGTAGGCGTCGTCGGTTGCGTTGGGAACGGTCTCGGCCTTGACCGGGGGCGGTTGGTCGGGATCGTCGGCGCTGGGCGACGCCGCCGACGTCGCCACCGCATCTTCTTTGACGACTTCCTTCGATTGGCTGGGGTTCAAATCGGCGCCTGAAAATTGCAGCCCGCCGCCGCGCCACATCAATGAATATATAAAAAAAGAAAGAGGGCGGCACCGTTTACCGGTCTTGTGGTCGACTTTGTGCCGCCTCCGGATGTGTTTCAGCCAATTCGGGTAGTTGGTGAAGCCGCGGTCGCAGTATTTGCACTTGTAGGGCCGCTCGCCGGTGTGGATGTTGTAGTGTTGCTGATAAATATCATTAAAAAATTTAATTACGGAGCGAAACGTTGAAAAGATCGGATGAGGCGGTAATAGTTCGAACGCTACATTTAATGTCGGCACTAGTCGATTGACTAGTCAAAAAATGTTTTAAATAACATTTTGCAACTGTTGAGTGTTATCTATCATTATTTAAGTATAATACATATTTTAAGCCGATCCAGGATCCTAATAAAGGTAAAATATCGAACTGCAGGTTGAAAATTGAACCAAAAACACCTACATCTATAGAATCTAGTGATATTACAAAAACCATAATAAATTAATTTATGTCTTCTATTACACATAGCCTTTAACATTTAAAATAAGATTTTCAAGGGTTACTTTAAATTACAACTAATATTTTTATATAAAAAAAGGTGTGGTTACTTACTTTTCAAAATTTTCATCAATTTAAGAACAATTTTAAAATGCTGAGATAGACACAAATCTGAAGCAATGCGAAATGACAGGGAAACAGAGTTAAAGTCAGTTAAACTCAGTATACAAGAATATCTAGAATTTTATTTGAATGTGCGTATGTATTTTTCTATACGCCAGCGTGCTAAACCATAATGAATCACATGAGTTGTAATAACATAAAATTTTAATTAACTTGAATTTGATATTTGTATGTTTTTCTATAACGGTGGTATCAAAAATATGGGGTAACAATATTCCAGATTCCTATTATGGCACCCTCAAGTAACGAGTATTGAGAATTAATTTCCGAAAAATTTATTAACTCTTAATAATTAAATATCACACAAAAAATGAAACACCCGTATAAATTAATATGAAAAATTGGTATACGCTATACCTTAATATAGAGTACAGCATAAAAATATCGCCATATTAAGTGGATACAATAACTGCATTTACCGCAAACAATAACCCTCAGGAAGGTAAATTAAAAATGTTCCTTACTTTCTGCACAATTCTATTATAAGTATTAATGCGGAGAACGATCTTATATGTTATATACCATATTATATAAAAAATAAGCCCAAAACCCATGTAAAATTTTTGCTTTGCATAAAATTTTACACTGTTGCCATATTTACAAATAACGAGTTCTTTTTTCTTTGAACATGGGCAACGTTTATTGAAATTCGTAACTGCGATTGCTGTCACCTAAAACCATTTCTTTCTTTTCTCTTTAATAATAATAAGAAAATTATGGTAAAAAAAAACATTTTTACAATGTTGTGATACTTACAAATAACCACGCGAAATTTGAATAAATTAAAATCCTCGATGGGACAGGTATTTAAAAAAAAGGATCGTTGCTTGGGAGCTTTCCGGGTATCACAGTTGACTAACCACAAGCAATTCGACGGTAATCCCAAAAACTTTTTTTTCAGCCATGGATATGTAAAGATTATATGTACTTTCGGAAAAAAAAAATGGAAAATAGATTATTATTACTTTCAGTTTGGTACTGCTGAGGAAACCCTTGTTGCAGTACTCGCAAACGAAGGGCCTGGCCGACGCGTGCACCAGACTGTGCACCTTGAGGCACCGCTCCGTTTTGTACATTTTCTGGCAGACGTCGCACTTGAACGGTCGTTGGTCGCTGTGGAAGCTGTAGTGTCGCGTCAAATGCGACTTCTCAGCGAAACTGGAACGTAGATAAAGAAAAAAAAGTGACGTTTATGTTTATTGTAGTTTACGCTACAACCGCTTCTAGTTGGCGCCAAAACAAAATGACAATCGCAACTGTCACGCGTCACCATCGCGTCATTTTATTTTGAAAGTTACATATTGGCGCTGTCAACGGTTTCAGACTTTTCTTTTCTTTTCGTTTTTTTCTAGAGTGCCATTTGATTCCTTCACTAACTCTATATAGCTGCTGAAACATGTCATGGGGTTGTATTCCCAGTTGTAAAATTAATAAGCAGAAGCATGCAGGATCATATGTTCGCTCTAATTGAAATCATTGCCTGAAAATTAACAAGATCCATCACCAGTTTACTTAGAAAGCGTTCGATACAGTCTCGCGCATAAAAATGTGGGAAAGCCTACAAGCAAGAAAGATCGACAATAAATTAATAAAAGCCATATACAATGAAACAAGAAATTATGTAATAAGTATAAACATAAATCAAAGGCATTTTGAACACAAGGAGTGAGATAGATGATCTAAATAAAAAGGCATAACCAAAGAGCAAAACCATTTTATGTTGGATATCGACCACTAAAACGTATCAGGCTCAGTTTTTCTGAAATAGAGAATGCCATAATTATTTGAGAGTTACGATTGCCGATGCCTATTATCAGAAATTTGTTTCGAGCATTTCATCTACTACAAATCTAGTAGAACTATCGCCTAACAGCGAAAAATATTATTTACCACTGTGAAATAATCACCAAAAAAATATGTTTACATATTTCTACAAGAGCACCTGCAGAATAATGAATCTGGCACAGAAAACTTAAAAAAATTAAACCTTGAAACTGATATGTAAACACGCAAAATTGACGATATAGCAATTTTTATTTAGTTTCGGGTGAAAATTTGAAAAAGCTCAGCCAAGAAACCTCGCTATGGGACTTACGTTTTGCCGCACTTGCCGCAACTGTGGGGTTTGTCTCCCGTGTGCTGCTTAACGTGCTGCTGCATGTTGACCTTTTGCGTGAAAGTTTTGCCGCAGACGTCGCACATGAACCTCCTGCCCAAACGGTGAACGTTCATATGGGACGTCAGACCGCCCCGCGTGTGTAAACTAAAACACCCGACCATATAACCTCAACAAAAGCTCGAGAATATCGTCGCGTACACTTTGCCGCACTCGACGCACGGATAGTCCTCTTTTAGTTCCGTTTTGTGCTTTTTCAGGTGGATTTTCAATCCGGGCTTCGTGACGAAACTGCGACCGCATTCTTCGCACATGAACGGTTTCGTCTTGGTGTGTTTCGCCAGTATGTGCACGTGCAGCATGCTCTGCAAACTGAAACCTTTGGCACATTCTTTGCACCTGAAAAACAGCGTGCAGAAGCCCGATGGGTTCCAGTTTTATCATCACGCGTTTTGATTGACATAAAAATGACAGAATTTTCATAAATATTTGACATCCGTTAGATATTTGATGACGACTACCAAGACGACCTCTACCATAAGGCGGAGAAACGACAGACTGTAAACAAACGATAAGCACCTGTCTCTTTTTAGTGTTATTTGTTGGGTTATATACTTCCATGGAATTATGTTTTATTATTTACAAGTATATCGGCAATAATACCTATTTGATACCCAAAAAGTGACGTTAATAAGTTTATGTGTACGAGATAATAGTTAAACTTTTGATCTAAAGCCTGTGTGTTTAATAATTTGCGTTTCGTGTGTTACTAAGAGGAGAAGAATGGACTAGAAGTGGCAATTTTGTGATTCCCTCATACGGAGTCTCTGCGGAAAAAATGGATTCAAACAATACAAACAGAAGAATCATTTGGTCTAACAAACACAAAACATTTTCTATTCTTATTCATTTTCAACCCCATGAAATTGAGTTAGAACTAGCACCCAAGTTTTTATTTATTAATTTCTCTAGTTCTCTAATTAAATTATTTATTTTAGCCCATACGTAGTCGCAGAGAAAATCTAAATAGGCAGCAGCCAATGAGTCCACTCGTATAGACACAATATCTTTTGCTAATATAAAATTAAATATTTTAAATATAGACAAATGGTGGCAGGTAACAAGTCACAGAAACACATGTTTTTGGAATTTTATTTGACACTGAAAAGCATACCACATCATTCTCACATAATGTATTAAAAGTTAGGAGCAAAACTCAAAAACATGGGAAAAATCTGCATTTTGCAGCCTATAATTTTCAATATCTCTTTATGCCTATAAGTTTTTTTAGAAACTCCGCAATTTTTATCATATCCTCGCCCAAATCCGTGATTCATTAAAAAAATATAAAATAAAATTTTAAAAACACTTATGCACCACGCACACCTATGAATTCTTAGATCAAATATAATTTTGTTACTGAATCAAAAGACAATAAATGAAAATAAATGAATATATAACCAAAAAAACTACCCGACGTCCAGTATTTTTTGTTTCAGAAAGAGTAGTAAGTAATCTCTAGCAAATTTGTTTAGTTTTAAACAGTCGCAAACACAAAAGCAACTAAAAAAAAATTAATATAACGTTTTATATGAGACAAATCAAAATAGTATTATGCCATCATTTGATTTCGATTTTGGTAATTTGGTAACTAATAGATGGAGTGTAGAAATGTGATGAAGAAAGAAAAAATGTTCAATCTTTAATGTTGAACTTTGAGGTTATGAGAAAAAATTTGGTCGGAATATATTTAAATAAAAAATTGTACGCTTTACTTTTGATTTTCCAAAACCTCAGGTGAAAGCGAAAAAACGTTTGCCAGAAATAGACGCTCAGAAAAAAATGGACTGTGATGGCAAAGATTATGGATGAGCAGTGGAGAATGGAATTAACAAGAAAATAATCTAAGCTTCTCTACGTTTTTTTTTTAACAATGCTGTTATCGTTGCATTGTGACCTTTAAGAAAATATTTACCAAAAGTATAAGTTTTCAGCATTTATGCTCAACAATATGTCACTTTTTAACAGGTAATATCAGTTTTTCTATTAAATTACTTTTGGCACTTGGACAAGATACACTTCAACACAAGTTAATTTTGTTTCTAGTAACATTTTTCTATGTGCAACACTGACAATGCTATTTTTATATTATAACTACTACTAGTACAGTACTTACTTATAACGACCTTCAGTGATATGCCTGTAACAGTGCGATCTAAAAGTAGAATATTTGTCCACCGTCTTGTTACAAAATGTGCAAGTATAAACGGGCGACAAATTATAATTCAAATGGTAGTGCGTATCGAATTCCGCCTTGAAAGGGAAGACTAGCTCGCATATGTTGCATTTCACCCCCCAGTGGGCCTTCCATTCCTCCTTCACATTGTCTATTATTTCCTCGTCTATGTTTTCTCCATCTAAACAAAGCCCTTCAATACATTACCCGCATGCATACTGAAAAGGAATATATACCAGCCTCCTCCTGCAAATCTTTGAAAATATCCTGGTCCTCGAACTCCTGTAATATATCCCCCTGCTCCAGATCTAACATGCTTTCGGCACCATCAGTCAGCTCGTTATTAATTAAACCAACACCATCAGTCGCAATTTGGATTTCATCCTGAGAAGACTCGGAAGAGAGATCAATAGATTTGCTTTGGCTGAGATCGGCTTGGAAAGCCCGCTGGGGCGCCGCCGCTTTCCGCCGGTGCTTCTTGATGTCGTTCCGTAATACTTGCTCGAAATCGTCGTTGTCAAGATCATACTTGATGTCGAAATTTAACGCGGACAAGTTATCTTCGTCGCTTTGGAAGTCTTCGTAAAATAACGGCGGTATATCGTTTTTAAGCGACTCGAATTCTTTAATATCGGAAAAAGTTTGCAACCACGTGCGCTTCGACTCGTCGGACTCGCAGGACGATTGCATTTCGCCCTCCAAATGCCTCATATTTTTGTCGGTGCCGATCGTCTATTAAGATGTTAGGTTATAACGCAAAGTTTACAAACATTGGTCACTTTTGACGACTGGAAAACATCCCACGTACGCGACGAAACGCGTACTTGTAGATAAAACACATCTATTTGGCATTAAATTCAAGCGATTAAAAAATCGATTTTGATTAATTCCGAAATTGCTAATTATCCAGACATCTCGTTAACATGTCGAAAAACCTACGCGTAACGGCACTCCCGGTTAAATTTCATCCGATGGTACACCAACCGACATCACTTCCACATAATTTTAGTAAAAAACGTGAAATGTAAATTCGTGCTTTTAAATATCTCATAAACGTCAAATCCCAACCGCGGCCATTTTAGGTTTTTCGTTTGAGATTCCACCGTTTCACGTCGGATTATAAAAACGGCGGCATTTTTGAATTTTTAACGGGTAATTAAGATGAGCATAATTATTACGAATTATAAAAAAAGATGTATTGCACCAAAAAGGGGCGTTTTTATTGTAACACAGCCCGCGTGTTGGAGAAATGGCCGCGTCGCATATAAAAAAATGCTTCTCTTGACACAGCAACTTCTTATGGGTAGATTCCATAAAAATGCTCTCATTTTCAAAGCACTCTTTTCTCCGAGACTCAAAGATTTATATCTAACGAGTACGATGCACACAAACCTTGACTGTACGGTGGATGCACGACTGTACAGAAATGAAATCATTTGCAAATTTTAAATGTTGTAATGTAAATGTTAACGCTCGAAAATCTATATTCCGGCGTTAATATGGCGCAGCGCATAAAAGGACCTGTCAAAGCAGCTACTTTCGACGTGTGGAAAAAAAAACAATAGAAAAAATTTCGTGTAACACGATATCTACGTAACAAAACATGGCGTATTATTAGAACCCTTTCATCGAGATGGCTATATAAAAGCGAATAATCCTATTCAACCCCCACACCAATTTCTCGTATCGACTTGAGCGTTATAGAAGTTCAGCAAGCAAATGGTCATCATCAATGAGGTAAGTAACCATAAGTTAGCAAAAAAAAAAATAACTTCCCCCATTATAGATTCGAACCGTGCTGGTTGTACTGTGTGTACTGGAATTTAGTACTGCGACGTCGTCTATGTGGAGTGGCGATGGCGCGATGAAAGAATTCGAAAACAATGATAAAATTGCTTGCCCGAAAGAGTTCGAAGACATTTGCGAGAAAAAAACCGAATCGGACAACCTCTACAACATTCTATTCGACAAGAAGGTGAGTTTTTGACAAAAAATGGCGCCTCGTTTGGAGTTTTCTAAAATTTAAAAGTAGTTTATATGTCTCAAAATATTAATATATAACTTATCCGTTATTGCCTGATTTGCTTTTTCATCGTCGTGGTATTGTTTTTGACCGACAGCTTCCAAATTCCAAGAGGATGTACTCGCCACATGACGCTGTTTCTTCCCAATGCCTCTGCGCAATGTCATTCAAGTTGATAGATTTGGGAACCAGCTACTATCCAAGGTGATGTTATTTTAGCTTTAGAGAATACAAAAACAGTTTTCGAGTTCCTCATAAGAAATAAAATTTAATTAACATTTACAAGTACATTTTAGTTAGAAAATATATATACAAAAAACCAATACGAAGAACAAAAAATAATTACGTCAAATCTTCAGTTATTTGTATAAGGTCCAATGTCATTATTTCGACACAAGTGTGTCCAAATATTAATATAATCCGAAATGCACCGGTTATTTATCAGCGATTATTTTGGGTTACCATGGGGACCAAACAGAATCGAATTCTGATTGGCTAAGGTAAGGTCGGCAACGTTTGGCTGCTCCAATGTGGGACGCTCCACAATACCCCTTCCCCCTCTTTAAAAAAAAATTAAAGCTTTTAAGCTTTTATAATGGCCTCGCATTTAGTTTTGCAAGATAATATTCTTTCAACAAGATTTTTAATATGATCACTTATTGTTAACCCCATAGAATGAGAACTGATCCGGCAAGGGCCACCAAAGATTTTCTTTGCTGAAATATTGTTTTTTTGTAACAATTCAAAAGCTTGCATTACACTTCTTATACTGCAGAAACAAGCAGACTATTTTTTGATGACAATCCCATGCATTATACAGGTGATAGCTTAACGAGCAATTAAATTCATCATAAATAAAAACAACATAACCTAGAATAACTGTCAAAAATCCAAATTCAGACGAACTAAGAGGAAGCTATGTTTACACACGTATTTGATCATATAGTGGCCTCGCTGCGGTAAAAATTGAGCGAGGAATCCAGAAGTTTTGTAAATAGTATGCAGTAGCCTATGAAAGATCTTTGAAAACAAATATGTGCACGATCATTCAAACTCCACCATTTTAAATTGCAAGGAAAAACCTTTGTTTTTCTGTTAATGCTATCCCTGGAGTAAAAAGTATTATTTTTTAGTTTCAGACACATATATTAATATTATTTAACATGTTTTATTATAAAATATGTTTTTATTAGAATCAAGAAATAAAAAAAAATAAATGAAAGAAAATGATTGACGATGTTTGGCTCTGATCATTCGTCCATTCTTGGTTGGACTAACCTATAATGCTTATTGTTCTACAGTCCGTACGTGACATTTATACTACAAAAATGAATTACTGCTAAAAACCAACAAGAAAACAGTTACAAAAACACAACAAGTGTGTTCTATTGGTTGGGAAAAGTCGCACTTTTCTTTTTAAAATCTTATAGAAGTAACAACCGTCGCATTGTTATAAGATAACGGAAAAAAACAATATAGAAACAAATTAATAGCAAAATTTTTGTAGACGTACATAAAACATTATATTTTGTTTAGTTAAATTGTAGAAAACAGCTGATTTCTTGTTCATTTTAAAATGCATTATTTGTGTGTATGTATACTGAATAGCGATATCATAAAGAAACCATACCAAAAGTTAATTTCAAGCATTCTAAGATCATGGTTTTGTTGGATTATTCGTAATATAATCGTTATTAACCAAAAACTAAGGTTCGTATTGCTTTGTCTAACTGTAACATCCTAACCCAACAATTCTTTGCATGCCATGGTAAAATGCAAAAACCTTAATATTTGAATATTTCTTTTTATAACATTTTTGGGGCATACCCGGATTCCAAAAGTCCTACATGTCTGGATTCGAAACTAACATTCACAAGCGTGACATTTGTAGAGTTCAATGGATATTTACCCAAATGCGACAGCCTATTTGTTCTTTGGCTGTCGAATACCTTAAAATGGGCCATTTTGGCCAACTCCCTGTTTAGATATATTCACAGCGGCGTGTGTAAGAAAAACACCTGCGGTCTCTTTCACTGGTGTCAACCGAAGAAGTACGCCCTAAGGCTGCTGAAGAGGAAAGATTCCCGGAACGAACCACTGGATGGACAGGACTTTCAAACGACGTTGCCCGAATCGCTCCAAGACGACTGGACTGCCGACATCTTTAAGATAGTGGTGGCATGCGAGTGCTCCCAGAAGAAGTTTTAGCGAAGTAGACTAGCACGACTTGTAAAATTACATTAAAACACCCGACGAATATTCATAACGTTTTATTTGGTTCCCTGGGCGAAATATTTAGAGAATGTAGGGACATACTGCGAAAAAATGTGAGGTAATATTAGGAAATATTGGAAAATACATGGAAACATATAGCAAATAAAACGTATATCAAAATAAATAAGAACTAAAAGTTCAGATTTTCACGAAATTATATATTATGACATGACAATTGTTTCGACAACACCGTGTCTTTATCAAATTTATTACATTTGATAAAGACACGGTGGATAAAATATAAATGGATTTTCATCAAGTAAAAGCCACCTCAGTACAATAAAACGTATATCTCTAAGAATAATATTGGATTTTTATAGCCAATTTTGCTTCACAAACCAAGCCGACATTTAAAAGTCCAATAAGGGCTTTTTCTATCATCATGAGTATAAGCAACTATTTCAATAAATTTTTGGCCAATTTGTTAAAATCTAAGCAAAACAAAAATAAAAAAATCATGTAAATTGTGTTACCTAATCAAGTATTTCATAAATAAAATAAAATTTAATAAAATAGCCCATGTACAGATGAAACTCTCCAGTAATTTAAACATCAAGAACAGTTTTCGATAAACGTTTGACCTGGAAGAGAGACTGGAGGGAGGTTTTTAAAAGAGGATTTCCAATATTGCTAGAAGAAGTACAATATTTAAGTGCTTCATGCATGATGGCGCGCGTGCTCACGTTAGTGTTGCAGCCATCAATGGGTAGGTCGAGGCGGACCATGGCCCCCTAGGTCGCCAGATTTAAATAGTGTGGACTTTTTCTTATCGGGCATCTTAAAAGTCCAGTTCATCGCGCCCCAGTTGTAACTGTAGAAGAGAAGAGCTAAAGGATCGTATAAGAATTTCCTGCAATTTGATAAGAAATACTGGGGGTATACTTCAAAGAGTGCGCGGTAACATGAGGAAAAGAGCCTTTCTTCAAATGTTCTACTTTTTTTCAAATTTAATTTATTACAGATAATTTTGTTAAATTTTATCAATACTAGTTAGTGTTCTTTTAAAAGAATGAATCGTTATTTCGTTAAAACCGTAAAAGTAAAAAGTCTTCTAATTTTTTTTTCTGAAGGGCACTAATTGCTAATTAAAAACTAGATATTTTGTTTTATATTAGATAGATATTTTATTTTTCACAAAAAAAAAGTTCTCGATTCAACCAAAACTAACCAAAACTATTATTTGTTCATAGTGGCACGCCACTGATTTCCTTGAAGAAAATAATGACATTAGCATTCATTTGTGAGCAAATTTGATCTTTTAATTTTTTTTTAGTCCCGTCGCACGGTTTTCACAAAATAAACACTAATTTTTCTACATGCTCTCAATGTCTGCCAAAATAGACAGATGAAACTCCGTACGCCCGATACTAGTGTATTTAAAAAAAAATCATAATAGAGTGTGCCAAATTTCATTCAAATATCTTAAAATGGCATTACAAATATTAAAAAAATGGAAGAGAGTATTTAACATTTTTTAAAATAACCAAGTTTTTAGTTTATTGGGAAACCATTTTATTGTGGCATTCTGAAGGGAATAGGGAGGTCAATATGTAGTTTAGCAAATTCTAACTAAGAGTCTTTCAAATATACCAGAGAGTTATTTTTTCTGAGAGGTATTCAAGTTATTTTGTTTTATTGATTTTGAAATAGAGACAGCAGCGTCTTCATTTTAGTACAACCCGCATCCTTCAGCTTGTCAAGCAAAGCTCATGCACTACATCGCAGTGGTTAAACCCTGAGAGCAGAAACTATACAAACCTTTTAGACCACCCATATATCTTTGTGTACAGTGTACTTTATTGTTGAATAATTATTAAAAAACATTTTTTTAATGAAAACCTTGACGCACTGTATCTCGATCACAAATCAAGTTAGGGCATATGTTTACAAGAAAAAAAGGTTTCAATTTACCTGAAAATCCGACCTTGGATGTTTAAGGGTCACCCTGAATATTTTGCATTATCTTAAGGTCATTCATTCAAATACCAGACATGCTTACATATATTTAGATGTTATTGACAGAAGCAGTATTTTTATATAAAGCATTGAAATTATTTTAAAAACTGTTATAAAACCAGTAAATTTGAAATGTGTATCCCAATTTTGGGTGGTGATTTTCCCATCAATGAGAAACTGTTTATTGCTCTTCGGTTTCCGGTTGAGTCACCGTTTGCGGCGGCTGCGGCGGTTGAACCGGTTGAGGCGGCGCTGCCGCCGGTGACTGTCCGCTAGGTGGCGCGCCGTTACGCGACAACGAAGCAGATATCTCCAACGGGGTGTCTAGGAAAGAAGCGGGGACGCCCTCTAGTGTTCCCATCAGACGGACCGGTATCGCACCGATCTGAGGTACCGGCCCGAACTGGTTAATGGTTCCGGACAGCGCCACTTTGATAGCGTCTAAAATTAAACTAGAAGCAGCGCGCAATTCCCCGGGAACGTCGATCATGTTTACCTGGGGCTTCGGTAGCGTCGTCATCTTCGTCTTCTTCATCGGACTCGTACGCGCCCCCGACAATATCGCCGCACAACTATACAGGGGTAACGATTCAGAAGTGGGATGACGCACACTCATAAACAAGATTGCATTTCATTCACAATCTCGTCACTGCGCTAAGCAACTACTCCGCGCTACCCAGCTCACAAAGATACTTTGTATTTGTATTATTATTATTATTATTACTATAATTACTAATATTATTATTAAGTAATTCTTATTATTATAGTAATTTCTAATACGCTCCGGGGCTTCTTATTCAAGAGGAATATATTGTTTTTCTATACCCAAATGGCACAAGGAACGTAAAACATCCTCGGGATATCTGACGGGATCTCCTAGGGATATACTCCTTCAGCTAAGGGGCATGCCCCGTATATCCTAGGGATATACTGTTTCAGCTAAGGGGCATCCTTAAGACGTCTCAAGGATATACGATGTTTCTAATGGGAACGTCCACATTTTATCAGATATGTATGTCCGTAGTATGTTTGTTGGAACATACTATTATACTAGTTGAGAGGTCGTTAATATATCCGACTGTGACGATATAGGATCTTATATAGATATACCAGTGGACTTTACTTAATTATTAGGTTATTTCCAATAGCCTATGAGAAATACTACAAAGGTAATGTCCAGTACTCCAATTGGGTATGGTTGGTGAAGTCACTGGCAGGCGATCTTTGAAATGCACAACTTTTTTCCAAATAATCTTTAATTTTGCTTTTGATGGTAAAAGTGATGAACTGCCGATTGACACCATTAATAAAACAGATTTTATATACATCTGACTTTTTTCTATTTTAGATATGAAAAAATTGTAGGTATATAATATACCACAAATATAGAACAACCTAACCTAAATTATCTTAAAAATGCAGTAACATACTATATCTCGAACTAAACCCTAAAAGAATAAGTAATATTTGACAGGTTTTCTGTCATTCTTTGATGTAAGTAGCTTTTTTCAGCCAAGCAGCTATTGAATTCTCATGTTTGTGTTGTGTGCCTTCTTTTCCGCATCTGAAAATACTTTATATTTGAGAAAGACAGGTTTTATATATCTGTACTTAAAATATATATATTTATATTTAAAAAATCCTTACATCCTCCTTTTAAGTAAAGGCTTGATTTGAGGCTGATAGTACTCTCACGGAAGTAATCTTACATGCTAGTATCCACGATGATGTAGGTATACATTTATGTATTTCATTTCATTAAATACCAACCTCATTAAACTCTCATCGGTTTGATCTCTTTCATGAGAGTAGGTAAAAAACTACAACAAATATGACTTTTCAGTTTTTTCAATATTTTTTGTTAACCTAAAAATTTTCCTAGTTTTTTTGCTCGTGATAGGAAAAACGTTTTCTTGAATTAACCCAGAAAACCATTTTAATGTGAAAATTGTACTTTATGAAGGGTTCCTAAAATTAATACTTTGTTTTTGCTAACTATACTATATATCTAGAAATATAATCTTGTTCTGTGGGTTTTCTCTAACATTGCTTAGTTAAATAAAAAATTAGTTTAATGGTGTATGCCTAAATTGAACTGCTCAAAAAACATGAAGAGAAAGTGGATTTTATTTTTGTTTTCAAAAACTAAGCAATAAAATACGAAAAGAAGTCTAGAAGCAAAAAAGACATGTAATTTAAAACGTATATGGGTTACAAAAAAGTCACTCATTAAAAAAGTATCAACTAAGCAATCATCATAATACATATTTTTTAAAGTATATTTCCTATACTTTATTTATATTACGTTTACGTAGTATTTATTTTTAAAAAACATATTACCTACTTAGCAAGTATTTATTTGAACAATTTTAATTTTGAAAATTTCTCCTCTTTCTTCATGCACGACCACTTAAATTCTATTAATTAAATTAAATTAAATTAAGTTCATTTGTTTCATTTATTCATTGTTTTAGAAACTCATAACTGCTGCCGCCGCCTGATCTTGTTATCTCATGAATTATTAGTTTTTCATTAATAACACACAAAAAAATAAATGAAATGAAAGCACTGAAAGCAGTAAGCACAGCATACAAAAGCCGACGAGACTCGAGCGAGTCCGGCACGCCACGACCGCGAGTAGTTGCGTCATTGGCTGCAGTCGAACGGTGTTGTCAAATGGAATCTTATAAACCAGTATATTATTTTCACAATTTGTTTGTTCTTGACCAAAAATAATAAAAACAAGATGATATTAATGGTTTGATTCCGGTTTTTCTTAGGAATTGCCAACACTGACGTCGATGTAGATGTGCTCAAAAACGTTGCCAATAAACTGTCTCCCAAAACACCACAATGTAAAAATACTAAGTATTTTCCTTCTTAGTTGTTCAAAATTTAACTTTTTAGGTTTCTATTCTAATGTTCCCATTCCCGAATTTTTGCTAAAAAACGACACACCCTGTATATAATTCAAAAAATCCTCGAATTGGCCATATTTTCTACAAATTTTGATTTACGCCAAATAATTTACTCCGAAAAAAGCTATTTTCAAGGTCATTCAGATTTCTATCTATAACCAAAAGGAAACCGGGTGTTACCAGTGGTGCGCTCACGCACCATAAAATATTATGCGTTTTTTTGTATCAAATCAGGTTCTATTTGGAAAACAATCTATTTTTAGTTGTTTTCTGTCGAATTTGAACTTTCTTTTGAATATTTATGTATAAATTACCTGTGTTCCACAAAACATTATTTAATGTTTTTCCCAGTGGTTCGTTTACGCACCAATATTTTTTTGTATGTTTCGATTTTTTTTTTGACACATGTAATGTATTCTTAAGTGCAACAAAATAAATAATTTCAGAGCAAAAAAGTATTTTTTAATTTTTTTTATGCTTGGGATAATATGGGTTAATCTGAGTTTAAGATCTACTGCAGAAAATACGATTGGTGAAAAGTTTGATAAAACCAGTAGTACCACTTTTACAGTCCTTTTTTAAAATCAATAATTATCGAATGTTTTTTTATTTTAAAGTAGCAATAGTCACTGGACTAGCGAAATGTTACGGCACAAATATATATTAAAAATAAAACAAAAATTAGTGCAACACTTAGGTAACACGTAATTTAGATTGTAGTTACAATGATAATATAATAATAATAATAATAATTTTCGAAGTAAAAAGCTCTTAACTAAAACTAAAACGGATAATATAAATAAAATTATCTAAAAAAAAATTGGTAAAAAAATACTCGCTAAAAGTGCTGCATCTAGTGCAGAGAAAATGAGTGTTAAACTTATATCGTTAAAACTTTTGAAAAAGTTACCTTTACAAAACAGAACAGAAATTTCTAAAATGTCAAAAATATTTTACGAAATAAAAGATATAAAAATTAGTGCGAAGCTTAATTTTAACTTAGTTCGGAGTTTCAATTTTGTCTCGATTGTGAACCTCAGTGACGGGTTCGAAACTTTTGCCCTTTCTAATAGGAAATAATGAAAAATTGTCGCGAAATGTGCGTATAACGTACCAGACAAGGCGCTGCGATCGCCCGAAACGATAAATGGGCGAGCAATAAAACCAACACCAACACCCTCGCCATTTTGATCACGGTAGAAACGATCGGCTACGGTATTCTTAAATCTGTGCTCCACAAACTAAGCTGATTTATATACTCGCTGAAATTTCATGCGTAGAATCGTAAAACGTGCATGTTTATTGCCAACCTCACGCACCGATAAGAACCTATTCAATCAAGCACGTTCGCTTTTGTTTTTCAACGCCGCACCAAAGGTAATTTTTATAATCTAGGAAGAAATACTTCGAAAATAAAATAAGCTGCGTTTTACTAGTTTTGGGTATGTAATCTGAACGAAATTCAAACTAAGAGATTTACAGGTTATTATTAGAGTTCGTTAATTCAGTAGGTAGCGGTGGTAACTTTGACGTGTCATTTATTAGCTAAGCAGGCTGCGTTTGCAGGAGTTTACGATAAATTATATTTTTCTGGTTAACTTCGTGCCCCATACCATATCTGGAATACTATATTTCAGTAATCGTGCCGTTTGTACAGGCTTATTATCGATAAAAACAAGTATCTTGTCTTCTTTTTCTTTTTCTATACCATTTTTTCTTCGCCGCCCATGTCATGTCATTAAAAAAAATCAAAAAGCCTATTTATTAGTTTCGGATTGTGCACAAAATGTGGAAGTGTTTTGTTATGCAAAAACAGTCAGTAAAATTTACTTTAAAACGTGTCATTTGAAGAAATTGTCAAAAAATAAGAACTACATTTATTTCTTTTTTGAATTGATAAAGCGATCTCAGACGTAGCACTGTAATCAATATCCCGTATTTACTTGATGATAACTAGCTTTTGGTACGGTCCAGAATTACATTTACATTATTGTAGAGGGCTATGGAATGTTTGTTTGTTTGGTAACCATGACAATAACAAAAAACACAATAGGCGTAGTCTTAATCTTAGATTTTTGACACGTAAGCTTTCATAGTGAATGGTTTTAACGTGATGTGACAAGTTTTCAAGTTCCAGCTATATTTTACAGTTGTGTTTTATACGAGTAGCTCAATATTTTTAAAAACGTGAGTGAGAAGGAACGTAATATCAGAATGGGACCTTATCACGTGATGTGATGCCAGAGCCAGTGCATAATGCATATTTAATGAAGTACTTTCCTGTTTATACAAATTTTTTTGAAGCCACTGGTTGCCTAGGCAACGGCATAGGCCGACCTCAACCGAATAATAGCAATCGCCAAGTGCTGCCCCATTCTGAAATTACTCGCATTTTTTTCAAATGTAAGGTTTTGCGCCTACAACGAAAACAAATTGGTTATGTTTTTAATATTACTTCTAGAAAAACTAATTTCCATTCTGAGGTACTGTAATTTTTTTAGGAAATGGGGATATATTTATCAAGTGCTTCAAATTCGCTAGAATTATAAAAGCCTTCATTGTTTCTTAAATCGAAAAAAAGATTAATGTGAAAAATTTATTGAAAATGTAGTCAAAAAGTCAAAAAGAATAACTGAGAGAAACTCAACTCATTAAACTAAGTAATAAGTAGTTTCAGAACACAAAAAAAGTGAAAATGGCTCTTGAACCACCTGACGTTAAGATAAAAGGTAATTAATTACATTAAATATCAATACATTGTATTGCAGAAGGGTGCAACAGGCACAAATGAAGCAATAAAGTGAAGCATTTGAAGAAAGAAATATATTAATTATATCTTAAGTCAAAACGGGGTCTTTTGGTTGACGTTGTTAAAAAAGGGTATTGGTAAGCGAAAGCACTGAGGTTAATGAGCTACACATTCGTTGTTTTCCCATTATTGCGCAAGCTTTATCCAGTGGCTATCATGATGACGTTGATCAGTTTAGAAATTATAACTTGAGCTCTGCATAAGCAGTACCAGAAAAATGTCACTAGAAAAAACCAGTGAAGATTTAGTTCATTTTTTTCAGTGACTGCAAATAAAGAAAATTGCCTGTTTCATAGGGATATTTTGCTAAGCGAAACTACAAAAAGTTATATTTAAGAAAAATAGTTTTATACCAAGTGTAATAATTATAAAAAGGCGTTTATTTTTTTTTCCTTTTTTTAAATTTTTACCATTAAAACATGGAAGTTAATTAACATAACATTGACATAATTTTATTGTCCTCACAATAAGTTTAATTTTAACACTGTTAATTTTCCCAAATTCGTCACAGTGGCGTAGCTGTTTTTCCCTCGAATTCATTGAACAATCTCATCGCTGAAAAATATGATTCCGAAACTCCAAAGACAACGCAGGACAGTATTCGCCGACAGCGTAGCCGAAATTAGCCCGCTAAACAGGGTCGGGTTACGCTTTTTGACATGACGCGAAAACGTCAAAAGTTGCGTCTCGAACCCGTTAGAGGGGCAGGTTAAAATGTCGCTGATATCGGCTGCGTTCCGTATCGTCGTCGTAGCAGTGTGACACGTGAATGCCAGGTAACCCAGGATAACCTAAAACTTAAGTCACCTTACATTTTGAACACACCTGGTATATTAGTACGTTTTCTGGTTTTGCGCAAAAATTCTGAATAGATTTTGTTACCATTTCGCTATGGGAAAGGGACCAAAACGAAAAATATATTTAGTAACAGTAAAATTTACTTTTTTGTTTAAATGCGGCCGTACATATTTGACGTTGCTGTTAAGAAGTTCAGAAGTTCAATAATAATTTCCATATACCCATCAACAGAGTGGGTCAAAAAAGGGTGATTAGTAAAATATATGTGTATTTTTAAATAGAACACCTTATTTTCAAATTGTGATTTGAATTTCTTTTGAAAGTCTTCAAGTTTTGTATTTATAGTTATACATACCTAAACCTAATGGTTATTCCAATATTTTTTTCCAATAAATACTAGTTTTCATCTTTGAAAAAAATTACGATACGCCATTGCTTTTCATTGCTTTTATTAAGTATCTTTATTAAGTTTACTTACTAGTTTTCACACTAAAAAAATCAAATTTGTTTCATTTCAAATTGTGATTTGAATTTCTATTGAAATTCTTCAAGTTTTGTATTTATAGTTATACATACCTAAACCTAATAGTTATTCCAATATTTTTTTCCAATAAATACTGGTTTTCACCTTTGAAAAAAATTACGATACGCCATTGCTTTTCATTGCTTTTATTAAGTATCTTTATTAAGTTTACTTACTGGTTTTCACACTAAAAAAATCAAATTTGTTTCATTTCAAATTGTGATTTGAATTTCTTTTGAAATTCTTCAAGTTTTGTATTTATAGTTATACATACCTAAACCTAATAGTTATTCCAATATTTTTTTCCAATAAATACTGGTTTTCACCTTTGAAAAAAATTACGATACGCCATTGCTTTTCATTGCTTTTATTAAGTATCTTTATTAAGTTTACTTACTAGTTTTCACACTAAAAAATCAAATTTGTTTCATTTCAAATTGTGATTTGAATTTCTTTTGAAATTCTTCAAGTTTTGTATTTATAGTTATACATACCTAAACCTAATAGTTATTCCAATATTTTTTTCCAATAAATACTGGTTTTCACCTTTGAAAAAAATTACGATACGCCATTGCTTTTCATTGCTTTTATTAAGTATCTTTATTAAGTTTACTTACTAGTTTTCACACTAAAAAAATCAAATTTGTTTCATTTCAAATTGTGATTTGAATTTCTTTTGAAATTCTTCAAGTTTTGTATTTATAGTTATACATACCTAAACCTAATAGTTATTCCAATATTTTTTTCCAATAAATACTAGTTTTCACCTTTGAAAAAAATTACGATACGCCATTGCTTTTCATTGCTTTTATTAAGTATCTTTATTAAGTTTACTTACTAGTTTTCACACTTGAAAAAAATTACGATAACGCCATTGTTTTTCATTCATTTGATTTTAGCGTTATTCCAAGATGGCGTAAAACAGAATTTGAATTAGATGCTACAGGGTGTTCAAAATCAAATTTGTTTCATTTTAAAATGAAAAATTTCGATTTTCTTAAATGACACACCCCTTTTTTTTCTGAAAGACCTTACGAAAACCTACAAGTTTTATTGTGTACCTTTATTAAGTTTACTTATTTTAAATAATTTGTGGTTCATTTTAAATTTCTCAATACTTACTTCCTGTTTATGACATTAGTTCATCATGACAAAGTGACATTTGTCAAATTTTTACCTGACAACTGCGTATGGATATGAAAAGCAGTTTTTTTTTAGGAAATATAAAATATCGGAAAAACTATTGGGATTAGATATGCATTATTATTGCAATCTATACAACTTTTGTATTTACCATTTTCTGAAACCAAGCAGATAATGAACTTTATTCTATGGTTGACTCACCCCGTATAAACTGAAAGCTTACCGTGTCGCTTAGAGCCCGCAATGCCACCGCGCCGACTCGTACCCATTTAGCAGCCAAAAACGACTGATACAACATGCAGCTGGCGTAACATCCTTCAACAACGTAATACGACATTAAAAACACAACTGGGGTGTGAAATGTATCATGGACCACGTCCACCAAGTCGCAGATATCTTCGTGGACTATCAAGTGGAGAGCGAGCTCTTCAAAATCCCTCTCCGCTTCTCGAATGGAGGCGTTAAAACACGCTCCGATGTACTTGATGGGCCAGATTAGCAGAATAAGTTGGAGTACTCCCAAATCGAGGAAAGCCATTTGAACCGTGGAGCATAGAACAGTGCGAGCTGAGACGGTATCGTAGGAATACAGGGAGGACGCTTGCGTCAACACCGAAACAACTACCAGCAGAATAACAGAGACTTTGAGGCTGCTTTCATCGTAATCGACGCGTGTGTTCAATTTGTAATTGAGTTTATCTTCGACGTGGCGGATTCGTTTGTACAAAACCACCACGAGTCTTCTTTTGAGAACGGCAGTGTACAGGATCTTGGTGCAATTGGCCGCCGCTAGGTTCAACGATGTCCAAAGCCACAAGGTCGTGGTTAAGTCTTGCTCCAAGTGCGTGAAAATCCGGTAAACCTCAATCAGGTGCCAAGCGCTGAAAATCAGAGGCGTCCCAAGCGCGTATACCAGGTACAAAACGCAAAGACCGCGATAATCGGCTAGTAAATTAGGCAGCGATTGTCCAGCTATCACGAAAACTTTCTGGGAGCACTTGGCGACGATGTTGTCGCGCCAAGCCATCGTTGAAAATGAGAAACGAAATTCACTCAGCGTCTTGAATGTTTAAGCAACCAATTCACTTCAGATCGGGGTAAATGCAAAATTAATACTCCATTTGGTTGATGAGCTTTCGTATCACGCTAGACTCGCAGGTGTAAGTGCCAGACATGTTTGAATACAACATCGACAACAACATGTACACCCTATTGGGATTGTACACCAAAATGAAACCCGACAAAACCGATTACAGCGGCTACAAAAAAATAACCTTGGTCAACGTCGCATTGATCTTGTGCGCATGTTTCTTGGTATCGTTCGAAATTGGCAGTCATTACGAGTACAGAAGGGCCGCCATCAAAATCGCGAGTCTAGCTTTAGACGCGGCGCTTTGCGCTTCGATTTTGACCAACAGATATCTCAGGTTAGACGAAATCAGAAAACTCACGGCGGTCATGGAGTCGATGGAGAAAACTCTTGGGAAGCAGCCGCACTGGAAGAACTGCGTCAGAACATTGGCAGACATAGTGGCTGTCGTGGTAGTCGTGGTTATAGAGGCTGCCTATTGCTGCAGTGACCAAAACTTCTACCGCAACTACTGCTGGTTCGAAATATACCTCTTTTTGATACTATCCGTGGAAAGCAACGTGTGCAGGCGCGTTATCGCTACAATCTCGAAGATGTTGCGAAGTTCCAGGCGAGTTCTTAAAGAACACCACGAGGAGTTCTACAAACTGCCTCCGGCGGAGTTCACGAGACTGCCCAACGGGGATCTGATGTTGACGGGGTGGATTTCCAAGGCGATCAACTGCCGCAACGACCTCGATAGCTTGAAGGGCCTGAGATTATTCACGTGCGAGCTATCGAAGGAGTTGAAAGTTTTCGACGCTTTCGACGCCATATTCGGAGTAACGATGGGAGTTCTCCTGGTCGACGTCAGCGTCAAACTTTGGATTTACGCAGCCTCTTGGGCGACGGGAGTCGACGCCATTTTCAACTCGGCCGGAGTTGCTAATACGATGTTTTTACTGGTTAGTTCCGCTCATAGATGGGATAAAAATGGTCCCACTCAATCCGATAGGTACTTGTCAATCAATCCACATTTCCATTTAACTGTATCTTTTAATCCACCTATAAGGATTTTTTTAAATCTGGATGAACATGATAATCGTCCATCCAAAATCCTTCATGCAGTGTGTGGTCCCGCATTATTCTGTTTTCTTTTCTTTCCTTTGCAGACTCAAAATACATCAAGCACTTTTCCAACAGACGAAACTTTTAGTCTCTGAATTGAAATAAGGAATTCAAGTTTCGTCAATGGTTATTATTCAACACATGACTATAACGGGCTAACTGAAGTTGACAGATCTTGTTCTTTTTTTTTCTTCAGCCGTTTGACATCTACTGCTGGATAAAGTTTTCCGTGTTTCCTTTCATGCTTTTCCCATCCATTGATTTCCTGGAATCTCTCGTCTCGCTTCTTTTATGGTGTTTATTGCCTGGTTTGGTTTTTATTGGTCTTTGTTGTGTGGCCCATAGCGACTTTAACTCTTCCAAATTACTTGTGATGTCGGTTACTTTGGTTCTCTCTTTAATTATTTTCTTTGTCAAATTCCATTGCTCTTTGGTATACTGCCATCTTTTCCATACTCTTTTTTGTTATTGAAATAGTTTCTAATCCGTAAGTTGTGACTGATAGTATGCAACTAACATATAAAGTCTGTTCATAGATATAAGACAGTGACTAACTGATACGAATTAAGGAAAGACTCGGGGAAACAATATTTATTTACTTATGTATGTATTTATGTTTAAATCTAAAATAAAAATACAAATTATTTTAATTACCTACTTAAACTACTTAAAATTATTCACATAATACATCAGTATCACTATCGCTATCATCGCCTGTTCTAATTATTTTCAATATGGATATACGATTGTTCTGCTTTTTCTATATGTTTAACAGAATTTGCCCAACTTTGTGGAGGGATGTTAAAAACTTCGGTTTTTATAAGTTTGAGGACGTTGGAGTTAACACGGGGAAAACATTGTTACGACGAATGGCAGATTTCAGTTGGTGCCAAACATGTTCAATGGGATTAAGTATACAGAGGTAAGGTGGGAAGCCTTAAAACTGTATGCCCTAGATTTCTTAATTATCACAGACGTATTCCTTTTGTAGGTTCAAGCTTTTGGTATAATCTTCGTAAAAATAAATGTCGTTATTATACATGTAGTTTTGGATTGTTGCTTTTGTGTCACATGAGGAAAGGGTTTTAGTCAACTGTGATAACTTGCATTGTCCATTACAATTATGCTATTAGGAGGAATGTTTGGAACTAGTTTGTTTTAAAACCAACTTTCAAATAAATCAGCGATGGTGTCTTCATGGCAATCCAGAGAAGAATCTTTAATATTTTTCGCAGACAGAGAAGTCCATTTGGAATCCAACCATCTTTAGAGGCAGCATGCAAAATAGTTATTCTTTTGCCTCTTTTTGATTCCGGGTTTGTTTTACACTTATCAGTTGACTTAACCCAACCCTTTTCCGGGGTATCGTAAGTGTCGAACCAGGTTTCATCCAAGTAAATAATTGGCCTTTGTTGTTCTCTGTAAATCCAATTTTTTTCTAGATATTTCAGTCGCCATTTCCGAATTTTAGAAGATTCCATTAAAACTTGCCTTTTGTCAATTTTTTTAAATATAAAACTAATGTGTTGAATACACTTCCATAAGGTAGTTCTACCACATTTAACACCGGTTTCATCTTTTTCAAGCCTCCTAATTAAGATATCTAATGTAGGCACGATTTGTTCCTCGTATAACTGGAAAATTTTACGCCGTATTATATCTTGATCACTTTCATCTACACTCGAGAAAATGTCAGCATCACATCGCAATGTGGCCGTTTCTTCTAAAGATGCTTGCTTGCTGGAACCAATGAGAGTCAAATAAACATTGTTTATAAGTTCCTTAGTCTCAATAGAATAGTGTTTTCTACATTTGCATAATTCGCACACGATTCAACACACGCTGTATTACACACGAAATAAGAATGATTACTAATAAATTTACACTAAGTAGTATACCAAACCAAAGAATGTTAAACACAGGTAGGTATAAAATTATTTTCTATTACGGACCGCAATTTCACCTGAATTTAAATTCCGAAACTTTGGGTAATAATCTTGTTGCATTGTATGACCACTCTTGGATAATCCCATTCAAAAGCAATTGGTCACTTTCTTATATCTATGAACAGACCATACCCTTTTCTTCTGTAAACTACTCTCATCTCAAATGGAATTTTTTGAAGTTTTCAAGTTATATTTCTTTAGAACTTTTGATATGTGGTGTTTTGAATGTCAGTGTGGTGTGGTCACAGTGGTAAGTGTGGGATCGCTTTCAGATTCATTGTCTTTGGAAAGTGGTGGTAAAGTGTATTTTGTGATGGAATGCTTAATATCCGAGGATGCTATAATTTTGGGCCCAGTGACTCGTGGTTGTACACAAGAGAGTTGATAACCGAGGATTTTTTGCATTAAGGTCTCGGTCTGTGTGCATAAGTTTTCTGTAAACACAGTGACCCAATGTTAGGTCTGATTTCAGAGAGATTCTTGACCATGAGGGCAAATAACAAAAGTATCAACGTAACGTTTCCTTAATTTTGATTTTATATGGAAAGTATTGAGGGCTTTGTTCTCAAAGGCTTCTGCAGACTGTCCAAATAGTAGCTGCGGATGCTGAATGACTTCTGATGTTTTCTTCACACCTTCTTTCCACGAAAAGAGAATTATTGCTATTCGAGATTTTGCTGCTTCTTCCGTAGTGACAAAAAGAGTGCTACCGAAACTTATCTATAGACTAAGTAAATCAGACTAAACTATAATAATACCACAATTATCAACACTTTAGAAACATCCTTAGGATTTCCACCACCTTTGGATTTAATAACGTCTTTGTGGACCACCAACAGAGTAGAATTCTTTTAACGTTATTTTCAGATCTTGGTTGTTTCTTCTCTTTCCAGGCATGTTTCGTTAGAATCCTAGCAGAATCCTTCGGGACGTTAAAGGACTTGGAAAAACTCGGACTCGACGCTTACAAACTCTTCCTTACTACTCCTGGGAACAGCATCGTAAAAGAAGAACGCGAGCTCAAGTCCGTGTACCAAATTTTGTACAAAAATGTTTACCTGCGCGACTATGGGACCGGCTGCGGATCGCTGCGCGCTGAGCGCTGCGCAAAGGCGCTTTTCTTCAACATCGCCGCGTGCGCGACGAGCATGTCGCTGATCGGACGTAAATGGTGCTGATGTGATGCGAAATGAAAAACATCGGGTACAACAGAAAATATATTATTTATTATACAAAAAGCGCTACAACGGTTATAGGCTACGACTATCTAAAGCTACGGAAACGAAAGTGTGAAAAAACAACTCGCGACGTGGCGAAAAACTCATTTCCTAGATTTTCCTACAGTTTTCTCAATCGCAAAAGTTCCCATTCAAAACTCTAAAAATGCCGGTTATTTATTTATTCCAGCAAAAAATTGTTGATCTTGAATAGGAAATTCCACGTCGACAAAATCAAAGAAACAACAAAACACTTTTTAGCGTTATCAAAAATTTAGACCTAAAATCGCACTGTAACGGTACACTGGCTCAGATAGTAAAAAAATAATTCAAAAACGTTGGCATAAAAATAGTTATATTTTATTCGTATACGGGGATCCCCAAACTATAGAGAAATTGGGAAAATATAGTCGTTTAGAAATCCATGAGAGTCCATAACCTCTATTTTTAAAATATTTCGGACATTAAGGCGTTGCCACATGTACTAAAACAGGGCACCAACTTCGTTTTTTTAGACGAAATGCCCCGTATATGATTACAGTGGCGCCATCCAAAGGCATTTTTAATGATTTGCATTGGAAGTTTTTAGTTGCAGGGCCCAGAAAAGAAAATGGCGTATTTGTAATGTGTTCCTGCAGAACTGGTAGAAAACAGATTTGTATAGATTAAGTATATTATTTTTCCTTGGCTACAACCAATATCGAGTACCCAAAATACCTCATAAACAGCTCTCATGAAAATAATCATTTTTCGCTAGAGGTTATTGACTTAAGAAACCACAAACCAATTGTTAACCTAGAACCATGCAAATTGATGTCAGGATATTCTTTGACGTGACTTCCGATAAGTGTTACAAAGCTTCATCGATATACACTTTTTTTTAAATATTTTTTAGCTTATTAATAATCAAATTTCTTGACAACTTGTTTGATAAAGACTGTCCAATTGAATTGTCAAAATATATGGCCATGGCTTACTTCTCAATTTGCCTTACAATAACTTTAGACCACGAATGAATCACTGCTGCAATAAAGTACATAGGAGTCTCAATTAAAATTCAAGATATATGTTAGATACTTAGTTTCCCAAGTTTTTATAGAATCTAAAAGTGAAGTGGGTATTTGGTTATAGTTTTGGTTAGTCAGCTGTGGCAACGCTGCAACGCCCAAATATAAAAAAAGAGATTGTAGCCTCTCCATATACTTCTAACCTGCCTTCGGGTTTAGGAAACTCCGTATACCGGTACTAAGTTCGAAAATTATTGGTCCTTTACATTTTTGAAGCTCGACCACTGCGAGACGGACTGCTTTGAGTACAACAGGCGTACCAAACCCACCCCCTCCCCATCATTCCGATTTTGGAAGTAGGCAACAAAAAATAAATTGCAAATGACACGCGTCTTCTTTATTTTTTAGATGTGGTGCCCATATGTCACAAAACGCCTCCTTATATTATATACCGTAGATCTATAAATTGGGCGAACGGCCTTAGGGCAAGTGCCCAATGTCCCAGAAACAAATGGACAACTAATACAGACATAAAAGAAGACGAGCGACTAAATCACGAGTTACGTTCCATTTATAAAGCAGTTTTAAAATACGGTAGGGTCAAATACGTCGATAGACTTCTAAAAAGTATTGCAAGAAGGTGCACTGTTCATAGTATAAATATTAATCCAAAACCATTTAGATGTAATTGCCAACTAACTTGAGTTATGATTCTTTTGTTCCAATTGAACCTAATCAACATGTAAGTATAAAAAAAGGAAAACAAACCAATTTTTTTCCATGAAAAAAAAAAAAAGAAAATTATTAAGAAGTTTTAAAAATAAGGGCAGATGTATAAAGTAATTTTAGGTAACCATTAGCTTAATCCAATTCGTCGTTACTTCATAGCCATTGATCGTAAATTGTTTTTACAAGATTTTTTAAAAATCTTATTAAGTATTAATTTTGTAAGTATATATTGATGATTGTACATGATGAGATAAATTATCTAAATAGCACGGAGAGATATCAGTGTTTATAATTATCTGTGCGTTATCTGTAAATAAAATAAAGATTTTTTAGGTTAGTATCAATAATTTCCAAGATTCTTCACTTCATTTCCTGATTTGGATGTCGAAGAAAAGATGATGATATTTTACATGATGAGGGCTTTGACCAGTGATAAAATTCAGAATAGAAATGACAGATGACATTTCAGATGATGAAGATAATGTTCCCCTTCCAATCATGAAGTTCAGTTTAGTGAATTTACATTATTTAAAAAGGATGCGAATAGCAGTTTAAGCCCTTAATAGAATTCCTGCGGTTGGTATGAAGTGACAGATAACATTTCAAATGATGAAGGCTTTGACCGAGAAAATCATGTTTCTCTTTCAATAATAAAGTTCATACTAGTGAATTCACAGGATATAAAGTGAAAGTCAAATGCAATCTAAGCCCGCAATCGAATTCCTGTGATTGATATGAGATGGCTGATGACAAGAAGATGATGTTCCTCTTCCAATGCTAAAAGTTCAAATAAGTGAATTCGTAGGATATAAAAGGAAAGTCGAATGCAGTCCATAACCGTAATCGAATTTCTGTGATTGACATGAGAGGACAGATTACATATCAGATGATGAACGCTTTGATCAAGAAGATGATGTTCCTCTTGCAGCGAAAATTTTCAGAGTAGTGAATTCACAAGATATAAAAAGGAAATACTTAGTCCGCAATCGAGTGATTGGTAAGAAATGACAGATGATATTACCGATGATGAAGCCTGATAAAGTCGAGACGAGTGAATTCACAGGATATAAAATGGAAGTCGGATACGGTCTAAACCCGGAATCGCATTATCGTATTAGCCATGGACCAAAAATCAATTGTGAAAAACGGGAAAGTATATATCCGCATCAGCAAACAAAAAAAAACTGTTTCAAAAGATGACTATCGAAATATATCACCACTTTCTAGTTTCTTCACCTGAGTACCACATTGAAAAAAAAATTGGATAGCGGTATCTGCGATAGTAGTAAACATTATACAAAAAATTAAGTTAAAAATACCGCCGCTGTTCAGTGTAATTTAGCAGCTCGTAAAAGAAGGGCCGGGTCGATACGGACAAGTCCTTTACATGCAATCGTTAAGGCTACGACGAATAAGGCTCTAGTATTGGTCCGGCAAAACGTTGAAGCCGTCCGACTGACGGGACATAATACGAACCTAACTTCAAATCCGACTAATCTACTTTCTCGTCGCTCATGTTGCGCAACTCCTCCAAATCCTCGGGCTCTATATCTTCGTCTCCGTACCCCCATATATTGCTCCCCTGACTCTCGTGGCTGCCGTCGCCGCTCCTGACGGCTCTCCTCGCTATCATCCTCTTGGACACGCTCTTCAGCTCGTACGCCCAGCCGATCTTCGCGAACAAATCGATAAAAGTCGTCGACGGGTTGTACTTGTTGCCCAACTCGCCCGTCTTGTAGTCCCAGGGGAACACGTGGTGGTAGTTGTGCCAGCCCTCGCCCAAAGCGGCCAGGGATACCGCGAGGTTCTCCACCGGACTGATGAACCGGTCGTAGGGCTTCTGGCCCCACATGTGCGCGACGCTGTTTACGAAGAACGCGATGTTCAGCGTGATGCAGAAGCGAGCGTTGAAGTTTATCCACCAGGAGTTCCAGATCGTCTCGTTCCAGAAGTATACCGGAATGGATACCGGCAACAGGACGACGAACAAAACGAACAGCACCGGATATAACCTGGAACGACGTTAAAGTTTCGAAACATAACCTCAAACGACCGCGTGCTAATAAAAATCTGTATGCTCTGTTTTTTCATCATTATTAGACTGTAAAACTTAGCAGTCTTTGCCCTATTCAACGGGCATGATTGTCAAGGGTTTCGAGAGTGGCAGGTAAGCGGACAGGTAGTTCAAAATTAGAATTTTAGTTACTTTCCGGCAGTTGTTAGGAAAGTTTGTTCCGGGTTAGACTGCGCTAAAAGTGAGCAAATTATTATTGTCGATGTGTTCAAATCTCTTCACCACCAAAACTGTACGTTGGAAATTGCAAACATTGTGAAATGTGTTCGAATATGACTGGAGTTGGACAGTCAGCAAGACTGGATCTTGTCCTTCCGCCCATGGATGAGAAGAAACTGTGAAAAACTTAAAAGGAAATGAAAAAGAAAAAACTCAAAAATGAAAGTCACTTTTAATAAATTAATTAATTAATAAATTAATTAATTAATAAAAATTGCAAGGTCATGGCCTGTAATCAATCTGGTATGTTGTTTGACATGACATCAAACACACAACCTGAATTTGACCAGCATTGTTGACCACAAATATACCCCCTACCCGGCTAGTAACATAATTTTTCTCAGCTTGTATTTCTTCACTTTGATTTTCAAAACGAAAGTGATACCGACACCATAACAGCGTTGACATTTACTGGTGACACAAAAGTCACCAGATTTGTCCCCAGATTTGTAATATTTTAAAGGGGCTTAAAACTAATTTAAAATTTTGAGTTAAAAGATTTAAATAGTTTTTTGCTACCACATTCCAGCAAAGAAAAACGCACCTTTTTTGCCACACGACGATGGGATCCGCGTCCAAATCGGACATGTCGACCTGCTTGCGTTTCTCGACGACGAGGGGATGCGGCGTGAGCACCAGCCACCCCACGTGAGAGAAAAAGAAGCCCCTTTTCGCGTTGTGCGGGTCCGCATCCGTCTCGCTGAATTTGTGGTGAACCCTGTGGTCCAATGCCCACGCGTACACGTGCCGCTGAAAAAGGAAGAAGAATCCAGGAGTCCAGGAGGGTCAATATTAATTAGTGAGTAACCGGATGAGCGTTTAGTACTTATATGAAGGCTTCAATGTAATTTTTTTGAATTTAAATTTTAACTGTTACAATTGATGAACAATCAACAGTGTTTCTCTCTTATGTTATAGGTTATGTCAAGCTTCATCGAAAATATATCTTGCGATGGAGAAACGCGATGGAAAAGACGAGACGGCGTGGAAGTTTTTGGGTCGCGGACCAAGCAAACAACGCGCGAGGGAATAATATTTGGTAGATACGCAATCTAGCGGCAATTTTCGTGATAATCGACCGGAAAACAAACAACTGAATTATAAATGCTCGTAATCACCACGGAAAGTGTTGTGTCGAGGCTGTTCCGGCGAGCTAACGTCCCGCGTATATAGTGTATACTGTAGACAGCGTCGCACGACGCTTTTTTTCGCGTTTTCCAAAATAAAATAAAAAAAAATAGCGTCGGCTTCGGCAATTCACGACAGACATCCGCAGAAAAATGTGGTCACAGACATCTATTAATGAATCTGCAAAGGACGAAGAAGAAGAAGAGAAGCTAAATACAATTCTTATTAAAGGGATTCTGTCGTGAGCATTGCACATGGCTGGTTAACCTCCGCTCGTTCCCGACAGAATCCTCTGTAATCGTCACCAAAAAACTTGAAATTGGTTCCATTGTGTGGATTTAGTGTTCTAAGTGTTTAGTGAACGTTATAGTGTGCAATCGTTGTCGCCCCCCCCCCCCCCGCCCTGTTTTTTGTCGTCCACGCCGGTTGGAGGCCGGATGGTCCCTGGCGGAAGCGGGGGTTAAATGTTGCGAAGAAAGAAGAATTTTCCATTAGTTTGTTCCCTTGGGGGGGGATGGATTCGTCCAGCCCCTTTTAATTAAGGCACCCTTCAAGCTACAATGAAAATGTTGAACTATAGTTGTAAGTGGCCGAGTGATCTTAGCATTCGTGGCCAATAGAAGTAAAGAAGAAGAAGAATTCTTATTAAATACATACGGCAAAGAGTATCAAGAATATACTGGTTAAATAAATCAAAGTTATAACATTTTAAAATGGAAGTCGCGCTGAAATTAATCGAAAATGTTTTCCGAATAGTTTATAAAAACTTCCGAATTCAGAGACTACTTGAAAAAATGTCAAATGTGAAAATGAAAAATCACTTTGGTTCAGACCTCGTTAAAAAGAATCGCAAATTTAAAATAACAAATATGTAAAGTGTTTATTTAATGTATGACGTCATGCGCTCTAATTGGTGGCCAACATCGCGTAGCTAGGCTATAATAACCTATTTTTTTCTTAATCTTTATCTATTTTGTTAAACACAATTGATATTTTGACATTTGCATGCATAATCCAAATTTTAGTTTTAATGAGCTTATTATTGGACTAACCAAAACCACAGAAAAAACTACTAAGAGGCTAATAAGACACTTCCCACACTTGTACGAATTGAGTTACGATTTATGTGTGCGTTTGCGTCGTAATCTGTACCGGGATGGTTGAAAGAAGACAATGTTTAGTATTTATTGATCACAGTGAATTTATGAAGCACACAGAAAACTGTAAAGCTACCCAATTTTAAAATAAAACACTCATTTTTAATTTTTATTTTGTTTTATATTGTGTCATTTCATGTGTAACCGCTATAGTTTCTGTCACATTGCGGGAAAATGAGCAAAAACTCCAAAACATAAGTAAATTGAAGGTCAAGTTTTTGTAAACGTAAATAAAATTACTAAAGAGTTCAATTCAAGCTTAACTGTCACTTAACATTCAATATAAGTTTTCTTGTGTGTTTTTTACAAATTTTAATTAGTTTATTAATTTTCGTGTAAACTTTTTTCCAAACATGTTGCATATTATACTTTTTTTAAGACCGTTAGTTTTTGGGTACACTTTTTCAAAGAAACACATGTCTATTTAATTGCACGCCACTGATTTTTCTTAAAATAAAAATCCTTCCCATCTCCAATCCTTTCTAAAAAAATTTAGTTTCTTGATTTTTTTTCAATCCAATGTACAGTTTGCCTTAAAAAATAAAAACCTCTTCTCTGGATGGTCACAACAATATCGTTAATATGACAGCGTGCCTGAATTATAATCATTGTTATTTCTTACTTAAGTAATTGTCTGTTTTATTAAAATACTTCAAAAAATCGAAGCACGTATAAAATTTAATATAATAAATTTAAATAAGAATCTATATATTAAATATATAATATATTAAGTTTTTTTTTTCTAAAGGACACAATTGGTAACTAAAAAGTAGACATATTTTATTTTTCATTTACTCATCAGTGCAGTGGCGACCTAATTACCCAAAATATTATTTGTTCATAGACAGTCAGTGGCACGCCACTGATATCCTTAAAAAAATAATCACATATGAATTCATTTATGAGCAGATTTGATCTGTTAATTTTCTTTTTACTTCTTTGCAAGGTTAATTAATTAAAACAATACAAAAAAATTAAACAATTTTTATATTCAAACTTTTTTAAAGATCAGAAATAAATAAAAGTTTCGTTCGATTTTACAATATTATTTTTTGACTCATTTTGATTTTGCTTTTTGCTGCTGTTGATCTTTTTTATTTTCGAAAAAGAGCCATTCAAATTTCCCGCCACCCAACGTCGGAAAATTGGTTAGTCGTGTGGCCTCGTGGTGGCGCCAGTTACTAAGAAGTAATCCACGACTCTCTTTTCTTGTTAAACTTTCTTTATGACCAAAATGCGCCGGATTTTAAATGTAGCACCAATATCTTTTGCACCGATAACTTTTGGCGAAACACTATTTCATTTTGTAAAACTAGTTTTTTATTCAAATAAAACTACAAGTGATTTATTATTAATACATCAGTTTCCGTGGAAAAACGAGCCTGATTGTAAAACGCAGGCGTATTCCCATGGAGCGTTCGGTAAATAAAAATGCGCGGCGGCGTCTAACGTCGGAGGCCGCCAAACAAAACGCAGTGGCGCCCGTGGGCCTCGATTATTTCTCGTATTTATTACCGACCCCGGCCTCGTTTTTACGACGCCGTTAGTAAAAATTTCACGGAACGGCCGATCGATATGTGCGACCCGAAAAGCGTGAAAAAAAAAAAAAAAATCGGGACGCCCGTTTTGACGTGCAGCCATTAACCAGCCCGACCAAACAACGTTCGAGGCCCTCTGAATTCGTAATCACCAACGCGATATGATCGAAAAATAATGTTCGGCTGACCCGCATCTACACGAACGGCACACGGTCGTCGATACCGAATCACGACGTAGCCTTCGACGCCGCCCCCCGTCTCCACGCCCCTGTCACCTATTTAATTTACGTGGATTGTGAGAATAGGGATGTGATCGCGATACAATTAATACGCCTATAGTCACACTGAGCATACAGTAGGTGTGCAGTGCCAGAGTCGGTTCAGCCCAAAGGTTACCTATGCGTCATGCCGATAGATAATATGATAAAGTCTGTTCATAGATATAAGACAGTGATTAACTGATACGAATTAAGGAAAGACCCGGGCAAGCTGTAAGAATGAAATATGGCCGAAGAGGTCTGATTTTATGTATGTATTTATGTTTAAATCTAAAATAAAATTACAAATTATTTTTACTACCTACTTAAATAACTTAAAATTATTCACATATCAGTATTACTATCGCTATCATCGCCAGTTCTAATTATTATTTGTTCTATATTATTTGCAATATGGATATACGATTGTTCTGCTTTTTCTATATGTTTAACAGAATTTGGGATGTTAAAAACTTCGGTTTCTGTAAATTTGAGGACATTGGTGCCAAACATGTACAATGGGATTAAATATACAGCGGTAAGGTGGGAAGTCTTAAAACTGTATGCCCTAGATTTTTGCATAATTATCACAGACGTATTCCTTTTGTAGGTTCAAGCTTTGCAGAACCTCAATTAATTGCTTTTTGGTATAATCTTCGTGATTATACATGCAGTTTTGAATTGTTGCTTTTGTGTCACATGAGGAAGGGGTTTTAGTCAACTGTCTACTGTGATAACTTGCATTGTCCATTACAATGACGCTATTAGGAGTCCTCATGGTAATCCAGAGAAGAATTTTTAATATTTTTCACAGACAAAGTCCAACCACTTTTTTGTAGCTTTTTTTTGGGAATTAGTATGAACACTGTTTTGAGTCAATCAAGGTGGGAAGTTCCTAAACTGTAGATTTCGTTGAAGAAGTTGGTGAGTTGCTGGAGATTTTCTTGATCCAACAATTTCAACATTTCTTTATATAGCTTTTGACCTCTTAGCCGATTTTATTGCTACATGCACTTCTGATGGTGAGGTTCCGTCCTATCATATATTGCCCATTCCTCTTTTATTTCTTCCAGGTCTGTAATTATTTCATACATACAGGGTATCCAAATAGTCCAAAGTAACATATCTCGTGTTTTTTAAAGAAGTTATTTTAAATTAGTCACAACTTCATCGAAGTTCCCACACAAAACGCCCTGTATTTCCGTCTTTTTTCATCACAAATACCAACAAATCCATACGGCTGAAAAGGGCTCGACGCGGGCGTAGCCAATTATGGTTGCCATATAAAATAAGAAAGTTGTATTCATCTGTGAGAAAACGGAGAACTGTACAGAATATTTGAGTACGCCGCTGCATTTGTCTGAAAAAATACCCTAACAAATAAAAAAGTTAGGAGAATTTTTATCTTTATTTATATCTCGGCTGGTAGTGAAAATATTGCCAAGCGGATTAAACCAAGTTCAGAAATATTTCCAGTTAAAACAACCCAATTACGAGCACCCTGTACATAATGCCTAATTTTTATTTCGTTAAGTTAAATTTCATTTTTGTGAATTGATAACGACATAGGTTGGCACAAATCCGGATAGTAGCAGCTTCAATCGAAAAAAAGAAAGAATTTTGCAATGCAATGAATTCAGAACAACGAAAGTGGCTTGCTGTACTGATTTCCGAAATATATTTTAGTTAAGTTTTTCGACTTCATATTAGATGAGAATAAAACTGGAATAACGAATCGTGAGGCGCCTTGTATATAAACGCACTTACCTGGCCGGTGACGGTGAACAGAATGACTAGAATTAACCTGAGGGGCCATTTCGCCTTGTAAGCCCGATGGGACCAGAGGCGGTGTGCTCCGGCGGTGATGCCAAATCCTGAGATGTAAATCGAGAGGAACGCTGTAAGGAAGACACACAAATCATTAGCGGTACCAAATTTTTTTTGTATAAAAGCGAAGTGTGAGTGCGCCACTGTTTTATTTTTTATTTTGTTTCATTTATTTATTTTAAGACGAAACTGCGTAAAAATTGAAATAAATTTAATGCGGCAAAACAAATCAAATTCAATAAAAAAAATAATAAAATTTAATTTTTGAAAAAATACAACACATTTTACGCCAGCGTTTCATTTATTTAGTGCAAGTCAACAGTAAATGAAAACCCTAAATTACTCACAAAACGAAATAAAAAAAAGTGCAAGGAGTTATAACCATTTTTACTTCTAGGGTTTACACTCAACATTTTATTCTAAGACAACAATAGACCTGGCTTTATTCACTGTTCTAAAACAATTTCCAAACTTAATAGGAAACGAAAGGATAAAGGAATGAGATAAATAAAATTAAATCAAAATTCCAAAATACTTTCTGATTAACGTAAGTAGGTCTACGCATTTTTGCTACTGCTTTTGCACCGCTGTTTTATTTTTTATTTTAAGACACAACTGAATGAAATGTTGTGCAAAGAAAGATAGAAAGAAAAAAAAAGGGAGAATAGAATGGAAAAAAATACACAAAATGAAATTTTAAAAAATCAAAAACTTCAGAACTCCAAGTCGAGAAAAGGAGAGGGGACCATAAAAAAATTATAAAATTAAATTTTAGTCCAAACATTTTTTGCTGCTAGAATTCACTTTTTTGTTTATTTAGTTTTACGCAAAGCTCACTGACAACCACAGGCTACCTTAAAGTCTTGATGGAAAAGAAGAAGGTAGGACCGAAAACAAATAAAATTTATGAAAAAAATATAAAAGGCACGAAAAGATCTTAAATTTAAAAAAAGCAAAAGAGTTTTTGACAAGCGCAGCTAAATATTTCTACTGCCAGCCGTTACGCCAGCAATTTATTTAAGCACAAAACAATAAATCTTGAGTTTACTCAGTATCGCAAAAACAATTCAAAAACTAAATGGAAGAGAAACAAAATAGAGAAATAAAAAAATAATAACATTAAATTTTAAAAAATTGCTAAATACTTTTTGGCTGCTAGTTTTGACACTTTTGACACCCATGTTTCATCTTTATATTTTCAGATTAAATATAAAAAAAGGGAAAAAAGAATAGAACATTACAGGTGCTAACTAAACTAAACACTTTTGCGACTAGTTTTGGCAACCATGATTTATCTCCATATTTTAAAATAAAAGCTAGAAGTTGAAAAATTAAAAACAAAAAAAAAGAATAGGGAAACGGCAATAAAAAAAATAAATTTTGAAAAATGCAAACATTTTTTGACTCCTCCGAGCAAGTTCAAACGCATTTCCTATTAGCTTTTATCATAGCCGGGGCTGTTTAGGATATTCAATTAAAAAAGGGACATCGACTGACCGACAGAGGACGGTACTAATGGCGTCTGCGATGAGAATGAGCGCCGCGACGCTCGTAACTAAATTGATTTGTAATTCGAACCGTATTCATCGCGCGTTTCCCTTTAATTTGTGCTACGCGAAGTGCGGTATAAAAGGCGACGGTCTCCGCCGCCCACACTCACCCCCACCCCCGGGGGACGGGTGGTTAGCCCCCCCCCCCATTCCAACCGAGCCATAAACACGCGGCTGTGACTAACGGCACAGTTATTATTAAGTAAATGACGATTTCAGCGGTGGCCATTTTGAAACTGTTTATTAATTGACTTGGATCTTAATCCTTTGTTTATATTTATATTTAGGGAAACGAAGGAAAGTCTGGCACCGCCGCACAACAATAAAGCGGCCGAACCACTATTAGGTTACAAAGATTATATTCTTGTCAACCTAACCTTTTTCTTTTCTCTCTATTTCTAATTCCAGTGTCTCCATTTACTATTAATCTATTAAAGTAGGACATCTTTAATTGTTGCGCTATTCTCAAAGAAGGCTTTGGAGATTGACAAGGAACAATCTTGTCTTGATTGATTGATTATTGGCAGCGGAAAAAGGGCAAGATAACTGTAAAGAAACTAAAATTAAACAATGGTTTAAGAAGGTAAGAGATATTAATAAAAGCGCACTCATTGGAAACGCTAGAGTGGGCTTGCAGAGATTTAGTGGCTTGTCAATTTCCATTCCTCTCAATAATGTTAATCTTCGTTGTCAGGAAAATGAAAGACGAATTATTATTAATGTTCAAAAAATTAATATAACTCCAGGACAAATAATAAAATTTATCAATTCTTTGGAATTTCCAGCAGATGATGATCCCGGGCAGTCTGACTTTTAAACGACTACTTCTCACATCGTGACTCAGTACTGCAAGCACTGAAAAGGTCAAAGAATAAAACTTTCTGTGGTCCCGATATAATACCCAGTTTTTGAATTAGAGAGATTGTTCAGTTCCATTGCTAAAAACTTTGTCTTATCGTTTTAATTTTGCATTTATTCTTACATTCCATTCCTAATAGCTGGAACGAGGCTAGAATAACCCCGGTGAATTCTATATTATGTCTACGGTATCCATATTATCAACCTTGGCGAGTATAATACCGTCAAGCATTAGATAATAATTAAACACTGACTTCGCGAAAGCTTTCGATCATGATATTTTTCTCCACAAACTTGTGGAGATGGAGTTCGATGCGAATCTAGTATTGTTCTTTAAGTCGTACTTGACAGATAGATTTCAGTACGTAGAGGTGCGAGGACACAAGTTCTTTATATGGTTGCTTTTGGTTGTGTTCGTTTTTACTATGTTGTTTGTTGATACTTAAAACTTGTTTACTAAAAACCCACTTCAATTTCCGAACGCACCCAACAAACAATTCTGAACGCAACCAACAAACATAACTGAACGCGCCTTTTCATACAGAAAGTAGCGCTGCTTTGAGAATTTTTTCGGAGTTTACTCTTATTGTTGTTATGACACCCGTTAAAAGCAGAAAAAAATTAAAAGGTCTGTAAAAACTGAGTAGACGTCGATTTGTATAAACTGCTATTTATTCTTTTAAGTGCCTTTTTCCGACTAATATGCCGCAATAACAATAACTTCGTTCTTACTGTAAACATTACCACGCTGCTGTCGTGCCATAATAAAATGTGCAATCCAAGCTGCTTGACATTCAAAACGACACGCGAGTTTCCATAACGAACGCATACCCGTAGATAATGGGAACAGTGTGGTGGCAGGTATTCCATAGATTACAACACACACACACACACACACACACACACACACACACACACACACACACACACACACACACACACACACACACACACACACACACATAAAAAACTACGCGCAAGGTTTTCGATGACGATGACGGTAATTACCACGTCGCCATATTATCCTTATCGACATATCCAGGGCCTCGCACGACAGCGTTATAGATAAACTGCTATCCACCGAAGATAATTTTTAAAATGGAGAGTTGTTTTTTTTTTTTCAATGCGCTTGAATAGCGTTAAAATGAAAAATTATACCCTTAGAGGAAAGAGTGTACGTGGAATTTAATATACTGATGGCTTATCTGAGCTATCACTTAAAAATTGGTCTAATAATAAAAACAAACTATGTAGAGCCTGGAAAAACAATGAAGATGATTTGATTAAAAAAGAGCAATGCCTACAATACGAGAAAAAACTTAAGTCCCTGCTGAGGGCCGCTAAAAATAGGCATGAAGATAGCCAATTGCAAAATGCTGACTCAAAATAAATGTGGCAATGTGTGAATAGTAAATTAGATCGTAGCATGAAAAACAGGCAAATAAATGAAATATTAATAAATAAAAAATCGAACAGCAATGATCTTGAAAAGGCAAACTATTTTAACGAGTTTTTTAGAACATTTAAACTGAATGAAAGTGTGACTCTTCCAATAAGACACCATCAAATACCAGATATACCATATAATACGAATACAATGTTTCTAGCACCAACAAATGAGACAGAAGTTTATCAGACCATGGCGCAAGGTACTTGTCCATATCAATTCAAGATAGCTGTGACTTTTCCAGTTTATAAGCAAGGTCAAAGAAACTATCGTCCGATTGCATTAATTTCAAATCTGGCTAAGATTTTTGAGAAAATTATTTTTGTCAGATTATTCAACTTCCTTAATACGCACAACATATTAAGTTTAAGGCAATTTGGTTTCCTCGAGAAGAAAGGCACAGATGATGCTATAGCTTTACTTAGCAAAGTTATATATAGCCTACCAACGGTTGTGAATTTTTTAGACTACAAAAAAGCTTTTGATACAGTTGATCACGTTATACTAGTGTCCAAATTGCAGAATATGGGAATATGGGAGGTAGGTTTGTCCTTGATAGCAAGTTATCTGAAAGATAGACGCCAAGTTGTAAGGGTAAATGGCATTAAAAATCAGCAAGTTAAAACAAATGTTGGAGTGCCTCAGGGCTCAATACTTGGACCAATATTGTTCATCGTATATATAAATGATTTGTTGGTTTTGCAAGATATCTTAATAGCATATGCCGATGATACTGCAGTACCAATGAAAGCAAAATCATGGCCCGAACTTCCAACAGCCATGTTATCAACTCTGGATATTATATACTATTGGCTCTATCAAAATAAACTGGTACTCAACACAGACAAGTCTCTCTTGGAAACTATAGAGACTCTATTCCACAGGATATTGAAATCACGATTAATGGAGTCTGAAACTCTGAACAACTGGATAACTTACGACTATAATATAAAATGGAATGTTCACGTGGCTAACACAGTAAAAAAAAACAAATACTTAGTATATGTTTTTTTATAGACTCAAGGAAGTACTAACAAGAAAGCAGTTATTACAAATTTAGTATGGTCTTTTCCATAGTGTCGGTGTGTATGCAGTCATAGGCTGGGGAGGTCTCTACAGTTCTTCGTTTGACCCGTTGGATCGGCTTCAGAAGCGTATTCTTAAAATTATTGGAATACAGGAACAAGATGCAGATAGACCACTGAGTATCAAACAAGCTTTTGTGGTGAATTCAATAGTGTATCGATATAGTGAATTAAAAAATGAATATATATATATATATATATATATATATATATATATATATATATATATATATATATATATATATATATATATATATATATATATATATATATATATATATATATATATATATATATATATATATATATATATATATATATATATATATATATATATATATATATATATATATATATAGACAGTATCCTCGTTTCTAATGCTCGGTGGGATGTATTTAGGTTACGCCGCCATTGTGCGAATGCACCTTCAAATTTCAATCGAACCCATTGTTTGAGACGTCGCGAATTATAATTAATTTTAAGCGTTTAATTGCAAAACGCATTTCACTGCTATCTTGATATTCTTATTCTTCTAGTAACCATAGTCTGAAGTTGACATCAGTTCAGATCTTCCTTGCATCTGTAAAAGGAAAGCTGGAACTTTCTATCAATATCAAAAAATCTAATTTACTGAAAATTATGCAACGATTTGACTCTTCTTAGTCATTAGAAAGTCAAACCAGTGGCCAACAACCCACGTGAAAACGTCACGTTAATGTATGTATCTAAAATCTAGGATCAAAAGGAGTGATTATTTCTAGTCACTGGTCTGGTATATTTGAAACACCCTTCCTAAACTACGTGATATTTTGCCTCTCAAACGAAGTTTGACTTGCAGATGAAAATATTTAGAGTTGTCCGTATTCGAGATAACTGTCGCCTTCTTCGGAGGGATCTTCAAACTGTTGATTCTTGCTGTAAACAACAGATTGCCATTGCCGTTGACAAACGTTAGTTTTTCTACGTCACGTATAAGACAGAGAGAGAGAGAGAGAGTATCTGCTGTTGATCTTCGTTTCCAATTTGATAATGTTTTGTCAAGCCATAACGTAGCAAATTCTTTTGCAATGCATATTGTGATTGCTTTTTTGCAGAGTGTTTGTCTGATTCCCTTTATTTTTTATTTTTATTACCTACTTAAATTACTTAAAACTATTCACATAATATATCAGTATCACTATCGCCATCATCTCCCGTTCTAATTATTATTTGTTCTATATTGTGGAGGGATGTTAAAAACACGGGGAAAAACATTGTTACGACGAATGGCAAATTTCAGTTGGTGCCAAACATGTTCAATGGGATTAAATATACAGTGGTAAGGTGGAAGCCTTAAAACTGTATGGCCTAGATTTTTTGCATAACGTTTTGTTCCTCGTATAACTGGTAAATTTTACGCCGTATTATATTCATCTCACTCGAGAAAATTTCAGCATCGCTTTTTTCTTAGCTGAAATGAGATTATTCACAATTTTTCACACAGTTGATGTTGGAATTTTCGTCAATGTCGCCGTTTCTTCTAGAGATGCTTGCTTGCTGGCACCACGTTCAATGAGAGTCAAATAAACATTGTTTAGTCTCAATAGAATAGTGTTTTCTACATTTGGGCGGGAGTATCTCATGAGATACACTAGACTCGCACATATTTTGCATAATTCGCACACGATTCAAAACACGCTGTATTACACACGAAATAAGAATGATTACTAATAAACTTAAACCAAGTAGTATACCAAACCAAGGAATATTAAACACAGGTAGATATTACGGACCACAATTTTACCTGAATTTAAATTCCGAAACTTTAGGTAATAATCTTGTTGCATTGTATGTTAATGACCACGCTTGGATAATCCCATTCAAAAGCAATTGGTCACTTTCTTATATTTATGAACAGACCATACCTGCATAACCATGTTATGGAAACTTCTGATTTTTAAATGTAAATGTAAAAAATAGGAAAAAATAAAATTTTAACTCAGCTATTAACAGTCTCTCTTCTTGTTTTTCCAATGAATACTCTAAATGGTTTTATAGTCCAGAGTAGGCGAAGCACTGCGATCGATAGGGAGCTACCAAATGCCCTTTGAAATGGCGTCTGAAGCTAATCGATGCTTGGCTCATATAGACACCCCAAATGTATATAAAACTGAACCAAAGAAAAGGAAAAAGACTAATGGATGTAATAGATGGATACGCCCACGCTTTCTTGATAGAACCAATTACTTTTGTAAAAGTGACGAATCTCCAGTCGTATGTTGGTGCTAGTATTTTGAGAAACCATGTACAACCGGGTACAATTTAACTCTCAATACTCTTTTTTCCCCGATTTAATAGTTGTATTAGATCGATGCACCCACCTATGGGTTACCTTCTAACTACTCTCTTCTCTCTTTTCGACAAGTACTCCAAAAAACTTTAGTACAGTTCATAAGCTAAGCGTGACGCCAGGAAGATTTACCAAAAAACGTAACATAGAACTTGGCAAGACCAAATGTACATAAAGCAGTACAAAAGCAAACGAAGAATATTAGTAGTTGGAATAGTTGGATACACCTACCTATGAGATACCCTATAACTTTTGTATTTACGCCATTTATTGATACAACGTATTTTTTTGGATGGGGAATCTTTGAAACAATACTTTCTCTTCCTCTCTTTCCAACAAGTACCCCAAAAAGTTTTAGTACAGATTATAAGCTAGGCCATGGAGACTTACCAAAAAGCGTAGTATAGAACTTGGCAAAGACCACAGACATATAGGTAATATTACTCGCAGGGATAGTTGGATACATCTACCTATGAGATACCCTATAACTTTTGTATTTACACCATTTACTTTTTCACAATCTTCTCTTTTCAACAAATACTCCAAAAAGTTTTAGTAAAGTTTATAAACTAGGCGTGGCGCAATGGAGACTTACCAAAAAGCGTAGTATAGAACTTGGCAGACCACAGGCATAGAAACAACCCATACAAACACCCCAAATGTATATAGAGCTGAGCGATTAGGTCCGGCCACATTATCGAAGGCACGAAGTGGTCGTGGCAGACTTCGGTGCCCTTTGAACTGGTGTCGCCCATTTCTGGACCTAATCGATGCGTGGCTCCGTTTTCTTTGCCAACTTCTTCCTGCGCACACTCGTTTTTGTTGGAGTCGGTGGCAGCAGTATCGCCACCTGCCGGTACTTGCCCGGCGACCGGCGTTGACGGGCACATCTCGATGGGTTTACAGATCCTCTAGCATTGTGATCGACTGGAACTGGAAATATATGGGATGTAATGATAACCTTACAACGTTTCTAGTAATTTCTCCCAAAAAGGCAAAATTAATTTTCATAAACTTTAAACCCAGCTTAAAGCCGTCGCCTATGTCGAGCGCCCCACTCTGGAGCTTGGAAAATCTATAACTATATCTCCGTATTTAGAAAAAATTCGGAAAATATTTAAAAGAGTATAGCAAAATACGATAATACAAAAATATATTTTAATAACTTTAATGCGACGTTGCCAGCTCGCCCTATTAGCTCTTCCATCTATCCAACTACACAATTTATAATTTCAGAAATAAACCTTGAAATAGGCTTTTCCAACGCCTTGCTAAATTGGCCAAATTTGAGCTCAGGTTTTAAGTAGATTTAGATTAAATACCTTAATATCCATTTTTGATTTTGTAAAGGAGTGGAGTTATAATATATTTTTTTAATATTTTCTATATTTTGGCAACAGCGCAACAAAATAAAAAAGATAATAAGGTGCCATATAAACATTTCTTGGACGCATCATAATATGCAAAAATGCACGAGGCGTTCATATTCAATCTGTATAATTGAAAACTCAATTTTAACTTGTTTGAACAGTTTTTTGGAGTATGTAAGGTGTATACAGAGTGTTTGGGCATTAAAGTGCAACATATATCGCGAAACACTGCGTTTCCGATATACAGGGTGTTGTAAATGATAAAAAAATATATTTTCTTATCATAATTGACCAACCATTTCATAATTTTGGGTCTGAAATATTTTATAAAAAATATACCCCTAAAAAACGGGACGCCGCAGGTTTTTCCTAAAATAAAAATTATTTTTGAAATTCTCATTCAATTTGGAACGAATTTGATCTCTTGACTTTTTTCTGGCAAAAAAAAATTAAAAACCATTTCGATGCAAAATTTTATTTTAAAAAATGGTATGCATTTGGTGCGGACATCACTGACAAATTTTTAAAAAAATGTCTTGCTATTATGATTAAAAAAACATTTTTTTTAAATTTATATAGCAAACCAGGGCTTATTTTCGACGTAGTTTTGGAACACTCTGTATAAAATCTTGCAAAACAACGAGTCATAATTGTCCGGTTTCCACCGATTTTCATAAATTTTATTGGTAACTTTTAAGCAAATTTCCGTGTTTACTACAAGACGCTTATGTAAACGATAGTGCTTTTCCGTTCTTTCTCTGCAATATTTTCTCGACAAATACGACCCAGTTTTGCGCCGCAAAATATTCGCGACGTTTCCTTATCTTCGAATGCAGAGAAACCGCTCGAGCTAGCGTTGAAACCACAAAATACCGGTTCATTTTCGAAGAAATAAGGCCGGTATAGTGCTTTCGCAGATAATCCGTGGAATGGCAATGAACAATGAACTTGCTAACTTGCCACTTAGAATATTAACAAATATTAACACTGCACAGAAGAGTCATGACTCATTTACTTCAATTACATTCATAATCTAGCCATTGCTGGTGTAATATTCAGTTCGGTATTCTTAAGTGTCCATAATTAAACACTTTTTCCGTATACTTAGAACTAATTACCAGTTGAAATCCCCAGGCATGAGAATGGTTACGTCTTATAACCAATACAAAGTAAAATAGATATATTAAATTATACAAAAGTACTGCTTGCAAAAATAATTACAGTAATATATTATGCAACAATTTATGCAGTACTGCATCCGTTTAAATTGTTCTGTTACAGCATGCTAAGTGCGAAACTTTCGACAATTCCTAAATAATTTATTTGTGAAAGCACTATACAAATTACAATGTCGCGCCTACAACGACCGACAGGATTGCGCGTAATTTTCCACCCATCGATGTACACGCACAATCTTCCGCGACCACAATTTGAAAATGTTAATAAACGTTCATTAAATCTCGACGAACGTCGTCGGCAAACGCGATTTCCCAGTCGTGACGTCATAAGACAGCAGATACGTATCAAACATAATTTATCGCTAAAATTCCAGATAATTTTATTTCTGTTTATGAATAGATGTATCAAGGTTAAGGCAAAATAATTATAAAAATGTAAAAAATTAACGGAACTGTAGCAGCCAAATAACGCTTCACTTAAATATCGCAGACGGATAGTTTCAAAATCGCAAACGCCACGGAACGCCGTCTAAACGTTCTGAACGAGTTCGACTTATTTACTGGCATGTGACGTCACATAAACTTTTAACTGGTTTTTATCAATAATTTCTTCTAACTATAACAAATATAACTTCAAGAAATCACTGTAATAATTACCAGATAAGATAGATTATCCACATCATCAATTCACGTGTTGAGATTTGCGATGGATTGGTCATACTATACAGGGTGAACCAGGATAAAACCGTCAAAAGTCTACGATCGGGTTTTCAGGTAATTTTTTTTCCTGGTCTGATTCGTTTTCGAGATGCAGTATCAATTTTTTTTTTAAAAATCGGTTTTCCATTGATTCAATTTTTCTCCTGATTTTTTTCTCTCGTAAAAAGCTTTGTCTGTAAAAAGAAAAAAAAACGACTTTCCTGCATGTCCCTGGACATTAAAAAATAAACTTTTTAATATTTTTTAAAATCTGTGAGTTTATTTTAATGAAAAAAAAACACTCTCTGCGACGCCACTGGAATTAACATTATTCCAATTGCGTTAAAAGAAGTCACAAATTAAATTAGCACAAAAAACGTTGATATTTTCACAGTTTTTAATGCTTTATGTATTGTGTTAAATGGATTTTCATCAAGTAAAAGACACCTCCGTCCGATTTTTAAAAGAAGTGCTTTATTATCGCAAATTAATTGGCCAAGTTTAATTAAAACCGGAAAAAGTTTTTGAATATTTAATAACAAAACGTTTTTTTTAATAAAAACTTTGACACCCTGAATCCCGAAAAGAAATCAACCTAGGACATATCTTTATGGGCAAAAGGTCCTACTTTCACCTTACAACCCATCTTGGACAATGGTTTATCCCGGGGTCGATGGGTTTTCTTATTAGAATGTTTTGGTTAGTTTTGGTTATTTTTTATTAGTTTTGGTAAGTTTCGGTTAGTTTTGATTTTGTTAAGATATAGATTATATATTATACAAATTTTTTCTATATTCTACATTTCTTATTTTTGAAACCAGTATTAAAAGATCTAAAATTATCTTTTTGCGTGCAAATTGTTTTTTTATATTTTAAAAGTGTGTAAAAAGGAAATTGCGCATTACCGACAAAAAATCCTGGTATTTTTTGCATTCGGGTAACACTTCTTTTAAATAGTTGAATGAAAAAATCTACAAGTGTTATAAAAAAAGTTTAAATGTCAAAGTTGTTGCCGGTAAAATAATCTTTAACTTTTTTGTATTATTTCAAATGTCACCCAATTAAATACAGAATGGTCAAATAAAGTTACATTTTTTACATATTTTATTAGATTTTATTTTATTTTATTTATTATTTTACGCTAGGGATAATATTAAAAATTCAATATTAATATTGCCAACAGTTTGCAACTCAACTCAGAACACAACTGCAAAACAAAAAAGAACTGTTTAATTAAGCTAATTTAAGTTTACTAAAATTTACCTATTTATGTTTATTTTTTTCTGGCCTATTGCAACATCATAATTTGACAAATTTTGTTGGTAAAAATATGTATACCTCCATTTGATTTTGATTTTTTTGCGAAAATTAATATTTCTCATTTTGACTCACCCTGTATAAACGCTTCGAACTAACATCAAGACAAGCATAAGATAAATAAATTGGTGGCATAATAAAATTACAGCCGTCGGAACCCGCATCAAAAGCACTCAGTACAACCCGTAACAACTATACATCGGGCGATTGAGTATAATAGTATACGAGGGCAGCGCCAACATTTCCCGGCCTGAATATGAGAGAAACAAAGTAGAGTAACAATTTTTTATTATTTGCCAATATAATCCCTCTTTACTTCAATACATTTGTTACATCTCTTTATTAGGAACTCAATCCCTTTAAAAAAATATTCTTTTGGTTTATCTGCAAAATGAGCCTTTTTTAACCCGTCGTTAAACCGCTGTCCACGTAAATCCTGTTTCAAATAAATAATAGTTGCTGGGGGCCATATTTGGACTATAGGGAGGATGATCTATCTGTTGGAACCCACACAGGTGCATTATCGTGCAAAAGACGCACGCCTCTGGACAGGTTTCCTCGAAGTTTTAGACCATTGACAGCGGTATTAGTTTCTTTAAAACCTATCAAAAAAAATTCCTTCACAATCCCAAAAGCTCGTGGCCATCACCTTTTTTGTTGACTGGCAGACTCTGAATTTTCTTGGAGGGGCTTCACCCTTACGACGCCACTCCATTGATTCTTTTTTCGATAGGGGGTCATAATAGAGAACCATAGTTTCATCTCCCGTCACAATAGTTTCTATCACAGGCTACGGTTCCGACCCACAGAGTTCCGAAAAAGACCGCGCACACTCGACACGGCGTTGTTTTTGAATAGCCGGAAGGTTTTTAGGAACCCATCTTGCACTAATCTTATGCATACCTAAATGAACATTCAGGATTCGACGAACACTTGTATCAGAAAGCTTAGTAATTTCTGAGATTTCCTTGAACTTTGAACGTCGATCACTCAATACTACCTCTTCCTTAATCGCAACAATATCTTCCGTTATGACCTCCACTGGTCGACCAGTTCTTGAATCAACTTCAAGGGACTCCTGCCCCATTCGAAAGCCTTTTGCCCATTCTTTCACTACAGAATACGAAGGAGAACTTGGGCCGCACACACCATCCAGCCTTTCTTTAATAATTTTAGGTGCTAACCCTTCTTTTCTGCGAGCCAGATGGCCGAACAAACTGTTGTGTGGACTTGGTGTGGACATATTGATAATAATTTAGTTTTTATCTTTAATTCTTTCCTTTGAAATCCTATGTTTGATTAGTAGTAATCCTTTATAACGGTTTCAAGATGGATACGACAGCCCATATTTATTAGAATAGTCCAAAGT